TATCCTCTTTCTCTCTCCCCCCTTTAAAAAAGTCTTTTTTGCCCCCCCGCTCTCTTCCCCCCCCTTTTTTTATCTCCCACCCTTTTTTCCCCCCTTTTTTTTTGTTTCTCTCTCTTTTCCTTCTCTCTCCCCCCTTTTCCCCCCCCCAATTTAAATTTTAAAAAGGGCTTTTTTTTGGGGGCAGGGGAAAACGGTTTTAAACTTTCCCAAAAAGCAATTGAAGTAATAGTAAAAAAAAGTGAAATAAAAATAAATATTAACATTAAACATTACACTCAGAAGTTTCAAAAAAAAAGACATTTCAAATTCATTTATGTATATATACGGGTTTTGTTTTTTTTTAAAAAACCCTCCTTCCCCGCTCTCCTTCCCTCTCTTCTCCCCTCTCCCCTCTTCTTTCTTTTCCCCCCCCTCCCTTTCTCCCCCCTAGGGCCCCTTTTCTTCTTTTCCCCTCTCTCTCTTTTTGCCTCTCCCCTCTTTTGCCTTTTTTCCCCCTCTTTTTACCTTTTTTTTCTTTTCCCCCCCCTCTCTTTTCCTCCCCCGCCCTCTTAATCTCTCTTCCTTGCTCCCCTCTCCTCCCCCCTCCCCCTCCCCTCTCTTTTTCCCCCTCTCTCCCCCCCTTCTTTCCCTCCCTCTCTTTTGCCTCCCCCTCTCTCTCTTTTGCCTCCCCCTTTCTCTCTCTTTTGGGCCTCCCCTCTCCCCCTCTTTTTTGCCCCCCAAAATCTCTTTGCCTTCCTCTCTTTTGCCTCCTCTCTCTCTTTTTGCCTCTCCCCCCGTTACTCTTCTTCCCCCATCCCCGTCCCCTTTTTTTCCCCCCCCCCTTCCCTCTCCCCTCCTCCTTTTTTCGTTTCCCTTTTTCCTCCCCTCTCTCTCCTCTCTCTCTTTCCTCTTCCCTTTTTTAATTTTTGCCTCCCCCTCTTTCCTTTTTCCTCCCTCTCCCCTTTCCCCCTCTCCCTCTCTTTTCCCCCTTCCTCCCCCTTCCCCCCCCCTCTTTCTTTTTCTTTTTACTGCCTTTCTCTCTTGCCTTTTTTTTGCCCTCTCTTTCTTCTCCCCCTTTTCTTTTCCTTTCGCCTTCTTCTCTCTTTTTCCCTTTTTTCTCTCTTTTTCCTCTTTTTTCCTTTTACCCCCCCTCCCCTCCCCCCTCTTTTCCCTTTCCTCTCTCTCTCCCTCTTTTCCCCCCCCCCTCTTCTCTTCCCCCCTCCCCTTCTTTTCCTTTCCCCCCTTCTCTCCCCTCCCCTCCCCTTTTTCCCCTCTCTCCCCCTTTCTCCTCCCCATCCCTCCCCCCTGCCTCCCTCTCCTTTTTCCTTCCCCCTTTTTTTCTCTCCTCTTTTTTTCTCTCCCCCCTTCCCCCTCTTTTTTCCCCCCCTTTTATTTTTCCTCTTTTTTGGGCCCCCCGCTCTCTCTTTTTTTTGCCCCCCTCTCTCTCCTTATTCCCCTCTTCCCCTTTCTTTTCCGGCCTTTTCTCCTCTCTCTCCTCTGCCTCTCTCTCTCTCTGCTTACCTCTCTCTCTCTTCTGCCTCTCATCTCTCTCTCTCTGACCCTCTTTCTCTCTCTCTCTTCTGCACTCTTCCTCTCTCTCTCTCCTGCTCTTCCTCTCTCTCCTCTCAATCTCTGCCTCTCCTCTCTCTGCCTCTCTCTCGCTCTCTGCCTCTCTCGCTCTCTGCCTCTCTCGCTCTCTGCCTCTCTCTCGCTCTCTCTGCCTCTCTCTCGCTCTCTCTCTCTGCCTCGCTCTCTGCCTCTCTCTCTCTGCCTCGCTCTCTGCCTCTGCCTCGCTCTCTGCATGCATTATTTGGTGTTTTTCGTTGTACACTGAGGATATTTTTGCAGAATTCTGCATGCAAAGTCTCAATTTGGTCTTTGTCCCATTTTGTGAATACTTGGTTGGTGAGCGGACCCCAGACCTCACAACCATAAAGGGCAATGGGTTCTATAACTGATTCAAGTATTTTTAGCCAGATCCTAATTGTTATGTCAAATTTTATGTTCCTTTTGATGGCATAGAAGGCTCTTCTTGCCTTCGTTCACTGCTTTGTGGAAGTTACCTGTGGCGCTGACTCTCTCTCTGCATCTCTCTCTCTCTCTCTCTCTCTCTCTCTCTCTGTCTGAAGCACCAGAGTGTTCTCACCACCCTGCAGCCAAATAGACACTGAGAATGTTGTGTTGCAATTAGCGTCCCACAACGTACTGCACTGTTGCTCATTGATTGGGAGGGGGCTAACTGGGAAGATGGGGCTGTATGAAATGTCAGGCTGTCTGTTCTCAAACACCAGAGAGGACAATATAAGCCATGGGCACAGACCTGAGAACACACACACACACACACACACACACACACACAATAAACATTTTGGCAGTGAATGGACACAGTCTCACACACCATCCCTTGGCAGTCACAGGACTGAGTGTGTGTGTGCTTTGTGTGGCCACAGGATCAGATCTGACCAAGTGACTCACATTCTATACTGTGGCATCACTTCTGGTTTGGTAGTAGCATGCTTCCCAGCTGAAACAGTTCGGAACAGTTTGTGCATATTAGGACAACATTTTGTGACGTTTTTGTCCGTTTTGAACTTCGGCAAGGCTTTTTCCGGCTGTTCGGGTAGCCGTGTTTACTCCCCCTCGTCGGTGATTGGTCAACAGTAGGAATTCTTCAGTGAAGTGCCTGTTGTCATTCAATGAGAGATGACTCGTTCTCATGCAAATTTATTCACTTGAGAAATACTGCACCAAACATCTTAGTTAGATGTAAAATTGCGCGACTAAGATCTCGGCAAAAACATTTTTGCAACTGTATAAAAACAACAACCCAGAAATATCTCTTTTACATAAATATTCAGACCTTTTGCTCAGTACTTTGTTGAAGCACCTGTGGCAGTGATTACAGCCTCGAGTCTTCTTGGGTATGACGTTACAAGCTTGGCACACCTGTATTTGGGGAGTTTCTCCCATTCTTCTCTGCAGATCCTCTCAAGCTCTGTCAGGTTGGATGGGGAGCGTCGCTGCACAGCTATTTTCAAGTCCGGGCTCTGGCTGGGCCACTCAAAGACATTCAGAGACTTGTCCTGAAGCCACTCCTGTGTTGTCTTGGCTGTGTGCTTAGGGTTGAGGTCCTGAGTGCTCTGGAGCAGGTTTTCATCAAGGATTTCTGTACTTTGCTCCATTCATCTTGCCCTCGATCCTGACTAGTCTCCCAGTCCCTGCCGCTGAAAAACATCCCCACACCATGATGATGCCACCACCATGCTTCACCGTAGGGATGGTGCCAGGTTTCCTCCAGACGTGACGCATGGCATTCAGGCCAAAGAGTTCAATCTTGGTTTCATCAGACCAGATAATCAGACCTTCAATGCTGCAGAAATGTTTTGGCATCCTTCCCCAGATTTGTGCCTCGACACAATCCTGTCTCAAAACTCTACGGACAATTCCTTCGACCTCATGGTTTGGTTTTTGCTCTGACATGCACTGTCAACTGTGGGACCTTATATAGACAGGTGTGTGCCTTTCCAAATCATGTCCAGTCAATTGAATTTACCATAGGTGGACTCCAATCATGTTGTATAAACATCTTAAGGATGATCATTGGAAACAAGATGCACCTGAGCTCAATTTCTAATCTCATAACAAAGGGTTTGAATACTTATGTAAATAAGGTATATCTGTTTTTTTTATAGATTTGCAATATATTTATATATTTAGGAGGCACAATCCACAGTTTGGGAACCAATGCTCTACCTTAACATACACTCCTACTTACCACAGTCTAGTCTGGTCTATCTACTCCCAGAATGAATGATGATCTCTCTGCCTTTGGTTTCACTATGCTATCTTTCTTGAGGTTGGAGTGAAAAGTAGGCTGGCTGTAGTTGGACAGGGATATAGGCTTACTAAAAGGAAAACTAAGCCTGTAACATACCGAAACGATATAGTTGTTGATTGATTATCATCACATTCTACATCTAGGCCTGCATTTCCATTGTTTTGAATCTCATGCTGGTGTGTTTCTGAAACCAGAGGGGTATCCTACCAAGCAAGCTAGATCTAGTCAGGGTTTACTAAAGCTAACCAGCTTCAGTTAGCTTCACATTCCAGCTCAAGCTTCATCCATACTACGACGGTGGATATTGCTCGTCCACCTGCACTGTGCGTGCATGTCGCACATGGCTAGTCGAACGGCGAACTATTCATTGAGACAATGCTGAAACATCAATCCATTGGCGAGTCAGTGACACGTTTTTATTTGTGCCGAAATCATAATGAAAGAAAAGTTATCTTGCAAATTCAGCAGGATGATGCTTTGATGTGGAAGGTTTTTAGAAGGCCGTCTTTATTTTGTACCTTATCGTTGATGCTGTCTTTGGGGTGCAATATTTATTTGTATTAAGTCATACAAAAGTGTTACATTGCGTGAAGTTTAAAATGCATTCTGTCATTACTGAATGTGTAATGTGATATATTTAAATTAAAATATTTAGTCAGTCGTCGTCTTCAAATGAAGGGGATGATGATGCAATCTTTGCGAGAAGGATGGAATCTGATTTAATTGGTCCTCAACTCAGTAATTTCATTCAGGGTAAGTGGAGTTAGCCCTTAGTTAGCCCTTAGTTAGCCCTTAGTTAGCCCTTAGTTAGCCCTGAGTTAGCCCTGAGTTAGCCCTGAGTTAGCCTGCCCCGGAGCAGGTTAGTTCTGAAGGATTCGTTGCCATAAAAATGTACCTGGCTAAAAGGTGAGCCTCTTTTGTATGACCGGTTATCCCGAGTTGAACTCAGAGTTGACCAAAGTTACCTCGCTAACTCCTCAAACCTGCTTGGTAGGATACCCCTCAGGATGATGTATTACATAGAAAACAAACCGGTTTGGGTGTTGTCTACCCCCTTGTCCACTCTCCACATATAATGTTTGGTCATGTTGTTGTTTATAGTCAGGGTGATGAGTGGTGAATAGAGTAATGATCACTACATGAATGGGCTGATTGATTGATTGCTTTCTCTGTGCCTTTCCCCCTGCCAGACCGAGCGGGCAGCATCAGCACATTGGACTCTCTGGACTTCGCCCGTTACTCTGATGACGGGAACCGGGAGTCGGACGAGAGGGTGGCAGGTAAGACAAGATGTACCTGTCCTGTCCTGACAGGGCAGAGATCGAGAGACGGACATGAAGAAGGCGAGATACAGTTGACATACACCTTAGCCTAATACATTTAAACTCAGTTTTTCACAATTCCTGACATTTAATCCTAGTAAAAATTCCCTGTTTTAGGTCAGTTAGGATCACCACTTTATTTTAAGAATGTGAAATGTCAGAATAATAGTAGAGAGAATTATTTATTTCAGCTTGTATTTCTTTCATCACATTCCCAGTGGGTCAGAAGTTTACATACACTCAATTAGTATTTGGTAGCATTGCCTTTAAATTGTTTAACTTGGGTCAAACGTTTCGGGTTGCCTTCAACAAGCTTCCCACAATAAGTTGGGTGAATTTTGGCCCATTCCTCCTGACAGAGCTGGTGTAACTGAATCAGGTTTGTAGGCCTCCTTGCTTGCACACGCTTTTTCAGTTCTGCCCACAAATGTTCTATAGGATTGAGGTCAGGGGTTTGTAATGGCCACTCCAATACCTTGACTTTGTTGTCCTTAAGCTATGCTTGGGGTCATTGTCCATTTGGAAGACCCATTTGCGACCAAGCTTTAACTTCCTGACAGATGTCTACAGATGTTGCTTCAATATATCCACATAATTTTCCTTCCTCATGATGCCAGCTATTTTGTGAAGTCCATGTAATTGTAAATGTAATTGAGACAGTGTTATTTTCTCTCGCAGGACCTGTCAATGTCACTGGTTGTAAAATTCACACTTTATCTCACGACCCCCACCAGCTAATCTTCACTGAATACGTTAAAGATCAGAGGATGAACTGAATACGTAAAAAATCAGAGGATGAACTGAATACGTTAAAAATCAGAGGATGAACTGAATACGTTAAAGATCAGAGGATGAACTGAATACGTTAAAGATCAGAGGATGAACTGAATATATTAAAAATCAGAGGATGAACTGAATACGTTAAAGATCAGAGGATTAACTGAATACGTAAAAAATCAGAGAGGATGAACAGACTAGTAGAGGGAGCAAGGTGTCCGTCCAGGAGGGGCTATATTACACAGACCTCTGTGTAACGGTGTAGGCCGATATAGCCTAGCCTAGCATTTGTTCTCCTCATTTAGCCAGAAAAGATATGATGGCTAGAGACCAGTACTGTGAATAAGATGCAAAGTACTAATATTTTTTTTTTTCTTCAGAATTTGATCTGTCTAATCGTTTTTATGTGGCTGATAACCATCAGCTCCACATACAGTTGAAGTCGGAAGTTTACATACACTTAGGTTGGAGTCATTAAAACTCGTTTTTCAACCACTCCACAAATTTCTTGTTAACAAACTATAATTTTGGCAAGTCGGTTAGGACATCTACTTTGTGCATGACAGAAGTAATTTTTCAAACAATTGTTTACAGACAGATTATTTCACTTATAATTCACTGTATCACAATTTCAGTGGGTCAGAAGTTTACATACACTAAGTTGACTGTGCCTTTAAACAGCTTGGAAAATTCCAGAAAATGATGTCATGGCTTTAGAAGCTTCTGCTAGGCTAATTGACATCATTTGAGTAAATTGGAGGTGTACCTGTGGATGTATTTCAAGGCCTACCTTCAAACTCAGTGCCTCTTTGCTTGACATCATGGGAAAATCTAAAGAAATCAGCCAAGACCTCAGAAAATAAATTGTAGACCTCCGCAAGTCTGGTTCATCCTTGGGAGCAATTTCCAAACGCCTGAAGGTACCATGTTCATCTGTATAAACAATAGTACGAAAGTATAAACACCATGGGACCACGCAGCCGTCATACCGCTCAGGAAGGAGACACGTTCTATCTCCTAGAGATGAACATACTTTGGTGCGAAAAGTGCAAATCAATTCCAGAACAACAACAAAGGACCTTGTGAAGATGCTGGAGGAAACAGGTACAAAAGTATCTACAGTGGGGAGAACAAGTATTTGATACACTGCCGATTTTGCAGGTTTTCGTACTTACAAAGCATGTAGAGGTCTATAATTTTTATCATAGGTACACTTCAACTGTGAGAGACGGAATCTAAAACAAAAATCCAGAAAATCACATTGTATGATTTTAGGTAATTAATTTGCATTTTATTGCATGACATAAGTATTTGATCACCTACCAACCAGTAAGAATTCCGGCTCTCACAGACCTGTTCGTTTTTCTTTAAGAAGCCCTCCTGTTCTCCACTCATTACTTGTATTAACTGCACCTGTTTGAACTCTTTACCTGTATAAAAGACACCTGTCCACACACTCAATCAAACAGACTCCAACCTCTCCACAATGGCCAAGACCAGAGAGCTGTGTAAAGACATTAGGGAAAAATTGTAGACCTGCACAAGGCTGGGATGGGCTACAGGACAATAGGCAAGCAGCTTAGTGAGAAGGCAACAACTGTTGGCGCAATTATTAGAAAATGGAAGAAGTTCAAGATGACGGTCAATCACCCTCGGTCTGGGGCTCCATGCAAGATCTCACCTCGTGGGGCATCACTGATCATGAGGAAGGTGATGGATCAGCCCAGAACTACACAGCAGGACCTGGTCAATGACCTGAAGAGAGCTGGGACCACAGTCTCAAAGAAAACCATTAGTAACACACTACGCCGTCATGGATTAAAATCCTGCAGTGCACGCAAGGTCCCCCTGCTCAAGCCAGCGCATGTCCAGGCCCGTCTGAAGTTTGCCAATGACCATCTGGATGATCCAGAGGAAGAATGGGAGAAGGTCATGTGGTCTGATGAGACAAAAATAGAGCTTTTTGGTCTAAACTCCACTCGCCGTGTTTGGAGGAAGAAGAAGGATGAGTACAACCCCAAGAACACCATCCCAACCGTGAAGCATGGAGGTGGAAACATCATTCTTTGGGGATGCTTTCCTGCAAAGGGGACAGGACGACTGCACCGTATTGAGGGGAGGATGGATGTGGCCATGTATCGCGAGATCTTGGTCAACAACCTCTTTCCTTCAGTAAGAGCATTGAAGATGGGTCGTGGCTGGGTCTTCCAGGATGACAACGACCCGAAACACACAGCCAGGGCAACTAAGGAGTGGCTCCGTAAGAAGCATCTCAAGGTCCTGGAGTGGCCTAGCCAGTCTCCAGACCTGAACCCAATAGAAAATATTTTGAGGGAGCTGAAAGTTCATATTGCCCAGCGACAGCCCCGAAACCTGAAGGATCTGGAGAAGGTCTGTATGTAGTGGGCCAAAATCCCTGCTGCAGTGTGTGCAAACCTGGTCAAGACCTACAGGAAACGTATGATCTCTGTAATTGCAAACAAAGGTTTCTGTACCAAATATTAAGTTCTGCTTTTCTGATGTATCAAATACTTATGTCATGCAATAAAATGCAAATTAATTACTTAAAAATCATACAATGTGATTTTCTGGATTTTTGTTTTTAGATTCCGTCTCTCACAGTTGAAGTGTACCTATGATTAAAATGACAGACCTCTACATGCTTTGTAAGTAGGAAAACCTGCAAAATCGGCAATGTATCAAATACTTCTTCTCCCCACTGTATATCCACAGTAAAACGAGTCCTATATCGACATAACCTGAAAGGCCGCTCACCAAGGAAGAAGCCACTGCTCCAAAACTGCCATAAAAAAGCCAGACTATGGTTTGCAACTGCACATGGGGACAAAGATCATACTTTTTGGAGAAATGTCCTCTGGTCTGATGAAACAAAAATAGAACTGTTTGGCCATAATGACAATCGTTATGTTTGGAGGAAAAAGGGGGTTGCTTGCAAGCCGAAGAACACCATCCCAACCGTGAAGTACGGGGGTGGCAGCATCATGCTGTGGGGGTGCTTTGCTGCTGGAGGGACTGGTACACTTCACAAAATAGATGGCATCATGAGGAAGGAAGATTATGTGGATATATTGAAGCAACATCTCAAGACATCAGTCAGGAAGTTAAAGCTTGGTCGCAAATGGGTCTTCCAAATGGACAATGACCCCAAGCATACTTCCAAAGGTGTGGCAAAATGGCTTAAGGACAACAAAGTCAAGGTATTGGAGTGGCCATCACAAAGCCCTGACCTCAATCCTATAAACAATTTGTGGGCAGAACTGAAAAAGCGTGTGCGAGCAAGGAGGCCTACAAACCTGACTCAGTTACACCAGCTCTGTCAGGAGGAATGGGCCAAAATTCACCCAACTTATTGTGGGAAGCTTGTGGAATGCTACCCGAAACGTTTGACCCAAGTTAAACATTTTAAAGGCAATGCTACCAAATACTAATTGAGTGTATGTAAACTTCTGACCCACTGGGAATGTGATGAAAGAAATACAAGCTGAAATAAATAATTATCTCTACTATTATTCTGACATTTCACCTTCTTAAAATAAAGTGGTGATCCTAACTGACCTAAGACAGGGATTTTTTACTAGGATTAAATGTCAGGAATTGTGAAAAACTTAGTTTAAATGTATTTGGCTAAGGTATATGTAAACTTCCGACTTAAACTGTATAAACTCATATCTTTATGTGACTGATAATTGGCCTGTTATCTTTCCTTTTCTGAATGTCAAAATGCCAAATGTCAATTCCTTACCCTTTAGCTTTGTAAGATGAGAGTTCTGGAGGAATCTCCAGTAACCATGCAGCAGAGCAAGCCTGTGGTCCTTTCTTCACAACCACAGACCCTCTACTCCTCCACCCTGTCCTCCCTCCATCCCTCCCTCCCTGTGATTCGGCATCTCCTCCCCCCTAAAACCTCCCTCTCCTCTCTCCTCCTTCGTCCCAGCTGTCTAACTCTGGGTTTTCTGGCTGTTCTGATCAAACCCCGGCACAGTGGCTCCAGTCCTGGACAACACTCCTCCAGGCAGCAGCTCTCTGCTTTTTTCTTTCCTTTCTAGTTTTTTTACTTCTTCACTTTAGTTCTTCATTTTGTTTCCGTTTTGTTGCATCCTGTGCACTCTTGATCAGCAGTGGGAAGTATTGTCTGGACCCCTTACTCTTGAACTGGGACAGACTTGAACTGGGACAGACTTGAACTGGGACAGACTGGTACTGGGACAGACTAGACCTACTGAAGCGGCAGATCTTCGGTGCACAGCCATGCAACATGTCTTCTCTGCTCTCCTTCCATCGCTTCTCTTCTTCCTATGTGCTTTTCTTCGTTTCCCAAGAGAAATGTGTGGAGTGTTTTTCCTGCTCTCATGCACTTGTTATTTGATTGAATCTCACTTATGTAGTCAATGAGACTTCTTACGTGAGGTTTTAGAGCCCTCTCAATGTAGCATATGTAATTACAATTCATATACATTGTTCTCCTGTAAGTATTGTTAATTTATAGGTAGGCTGGACACATGACATTTTTAACAATGCTTTTTTCTGATAAAAACTAGTTCATTGCATCCGCCATGGAGCCCAGTTTCATAATATTACCATATGTCCCAGCTTCTTGTCGTAGTTTTGAAGTAATCATGAAAGAACAGGCCTTATTTTAGGACATTTTTCACCCTGCCAGCTCCTATTAGTTCTATTGAGCACCGTGGCACCAACTCGCCTTCCGAACGTCCTATTCCCACCCCATTGTTCAATGTCACAATGCCTGCTTCGCTATTGTTGGCAATGACACCTGCCCACGTTGAACCAATTGCTGGTAGTTAAAACGTCAACAACAACAACAACAACAAATTACTCACGGAACTCTGAGGTCGTCCCATTGTTTCCTATAGGGGAAATATAGGTATGTCTGTCTATTTCGCAAAATATATCACAATGTGTATATGTAGATTTTTTCCCCCAAGTCAGACACCATTTTAATCATGATAATCTCCTCTTTGTAATTATGTAAGTCTGAGCAGCGAGCTTGGTTGTCATCGATCACTAGACCAGAAATAGTCAGAAGTTTAAATTTTTTCCTCATTACGCAGACATAAGCACAGTTGACACCATCGAGGTGCGGATGTTTACTTTCTACACAAGTCGTTTTTTCCTTCAGTTTCGTCCTAAGAACAGATTGTAGTGGTAAAATAAAAAGGGATAAAAAAAAATTGTGCCATTTAGGCGAAATTGAATTCTAAGCTTCACTCCAGTCAGAAGAGAATCTGCGAACGTTCGATTCAATTCATTTGCTATGGGCTCGCGCCAGTGTTCCAGCTTAGCCAACGCTCTATTGCCGTTTTTCAGCCTTGGGTGAATTTTGACTCGTTCTATTGTCCAGCCTATTATAGGCCAAGTAGCAGCTATAGTATCCAGTCCTATGCGTAGGCCTAATATTATATCCTATTAAAACACAGATGATTTGACCAACCACAATGCCAAAATCGCCACTCCAAATTTGAGCAGAGACTAATTTTTTTGCATAACCTGGAACACACTTTTGTAATCTATTGATTGTAATCCCTGGTCAGACAGCTATTAGCATATTATATACAGTGGGGAAAAAAAGTATTTAGTCAGCCACCAATTGTGCAAGTTCTCCCACTTAAAAAGATGAGAGAGGCCTGTAATTTTCATCATAGGTACACGTCAACTATGACAGACAAATTGAGAAAAAAAAATCCAGAAAATCACATTGTAGGATTTTTTATGAATTTATTTGCAAATGATGGTGGAAAATAAGTATTTGGTCACCTACAAACAAGCAAGATTTCTGGCTCTCACAGACCTGTAACTGCTTCTTTAAGACGCTCCTCTGTCCTCCATCGTTACCTGTATTAATGGCACCTGTTTGAACTTGTTATCCGTATAAAAGACACCTGTCCACAACCTCAAACAGTCACACTCCAAACTCCACTATGGCCAAGACCAAAGAGCTGTCAAAGGACACCAGAAACAACATTGTAGACCTGCACCAGGCTGGGAAGACTGAATCTGCAATAGGTAAGCAGCTTGGTTTGAAGAAATCAACTGTGGGAGCAATTATTAGGAAATGGAAGACATACAAGACCACTGATAATCTCCCTCGATCTGGGGCTCCACGCAAGAGCTCACCCCGTGGGGTCAAAATGATCACAAGAACGGTGAGCAAAAATCCCAGAACCACATGGGGGGACCTAGTGAATGACCTGCAGAGAGCTGGGACCAAAGTAACAAAGCCTACCATCAGTAACACACTACGCCGCCAGGGACTCAAATCCTGCAGTCCCCCTGCTTAAGCCAGTACATGTCCAGGCCCGTCTGAAGTTTGCTAGAGTGCATTTGGATGATCCAGAAGAGGATTGGGAGAATGTCATATGGTCAGATGAAACCAAAATATAACTTTTTGGTAAAAACTCAACTCGTCGTGTTTGGAGGACAAAGAATGCTGAGTTGCATCCAAAGAACACCATACCTACTGTGAAGCATGGGGGTGGAAACATCATGCTTTGGGGCTGTTTTTCTGCAAAGGGACCAGGACGACTGATCCGTGTAAAGGAAAGAATGAATGGGGCCATGTATCGTGAGATTTTGAGTGAAAACCTCCTTCCATCAGCAAGGGCATTGAAGATGAAACGTGGCTGGGTCTTTCAGCATGACAATGATCCCAAACACACCGCCCGGGCAACGAAGGAGTGGCTTCGTAAGAAGCATTTCAAGGTCCTGGAGTGGCCTAGCCAGTCTCCAGATCTCAACCCCATAGAAAATCTTTGGAGGGAGTTGAAAGTCTGTGTTGCCCAGCGACAGCCCCAAAACATCACTGCTCTAGAGGAGATCTGCATGGAGGAATGGGCCAAAATACCAGCAACAGTGTGTGAAAACCTTGTGAAGACTTACAGAAAACGTTTGACCTGTGTCATTGCCAACAAAGGGTATATAACAAAGTATTGAGAAACTTTTGTTATTGACCAAATACTTATTTTCCACCATAATTTGCAAATAAATTCATTAAAAATCCTACAATGTGATTTTCTGGATTTTTTTTCCTCATTTTGTCTGTCATAGTTGACGTGTACCTATGATGAAAATTACAGGCCTCTCTCATCTTTTTAAGTGGGAGAACTTGCACAATAGGTGGCTGACTAAATACTTTTTTTCCCCACTGTAGGCTGCATCCCAATAGTATATAGAGTGGTTTTTTCTCTGTCTCACTCTTGTCTACACTGATCTTAAACAACACGATAGGTGAAAGCAGATTCCCAGAAGGTGTCCTCCACATTGCTTTCACCTATCCTGTGTAATCAGATCAGTGCAGATGAAGTAAAGGAGATGAGGAGAGGAAGCCACTCTAGACTATTGGGATGCAGCCTTAGACACGCGTATAGAATGAAGGACTCTCCGTTAGTCAGCTATCCCAGGATCCTCTGCTGCATGCGTTCATTAGACCCCGTAGTTTGCATGTCTCCTGTTTTTTATTTTTTTATCAATCTCGTTGTTTGTTTGTTTGGCCTCAGCTTCTTACAATACCTGTTGTTTGTTTGTTTGGCCTCAGCTTCTTACAATACCTGTTGTTTTTTTGGAGTCGTTTTTTTGTTAGATTTTTCATGGCCATCTTTTTGTTTGTGTTTGTTTGTTTGTTCCTGCTCCTTGGTTGGATGCACTTCCTTCCTGTGTGTTGTGATGTCACTTCCTGTCCAGTGCTGGAGTTTGAGCTACGGAAAGCCAAGGAGACCATTCAGGCTCTACGCGCCAACTTGACTCAGGCAGCAGGTGGCGTACTTAACACTTCTACTCCCATTTCATCCCTCTCTCCATCTCTCCCTTTTTATGGAGCTTCTCTCTAGCTCCTCCCATCTTTCGCTGGAGTGGAAGGGTTCATCTGTTCTGTTGCTTTATTTTATTTCTAGAGAGCGACACTCAGGAGAGAAACAAGAACTACAAATCAAATCATGAGATTCAGGTAGGCCGGACTCTCTCCTACACAGTGTTAGTAACTGTATGCAGTACCACTGCAGCAAATACACAATGTTTCTTCAAAATTACAGTTTATTGAAAAACGTCTTGACTTTTCGATTTGATTGATGTTTCATCTGTCTCTATACTCTAAGGAACCTATCCGCCCACTGGAGAAGCGAGCCTTGAATTTTCTTGTGAATGAATATTTATTAAAGAATGAATACAAACTATCGGCCATCACATTCTCTGATGAAAATGACCAGGTAATGTTTGTTTCTTTGTGTTGTCACTCAAGGTGTATTTAGTGTGTCATATAAGGCTACATACAGTAAATAAACATATTACATTTACATTTTAGTCATTTAGCAGACGCTCTTATCCAGAGCGACTTACAGTTAGTGAGTGCATACATTTTTCATACATATCATCCTATCTTGTTCGGTTGTTCAGGACTTTGAATTGTGGGACGACGTGGGCCTGAACATTCCGAAGCCTCCCGACCTATTACAGAGCTACAGGAACTGTGGCTCCGCCCTTCCGTCGCCGCGGGATACAGTGGATGTAGCCGTGGGGGTGGAGTCAGGCGAGCTCACAGGGAACTACATTACCCAGAAACATGATCTCTTGCAGCAGGTAGGAGAGCGAGAGAGAGCTTTGCAGTGATGTGACTTTAAAACCTAAACAATCCACTCAGACTGATTTAGTCTACACTCCTTTCACAATGTATACTAAAATCCTCTTCTCTCTCTCTCTCTTTCTCTCTCTCTCTCTCTTTCAGCAGCAGACAGAAGTGGTTGAGGAGTTGGAGTATCAGATCAGTCTACTGAATGAAGAGAAACAGAGTCTGGCTGACCAGATCAAGAAATTACAAAGGTGTGTGTGTGTTAAGAGAGGATGGGGTAATGGCTCTACACTCCACCCTATGTTGTCACAGATAGATGCTAATTGAAAATGTCACTGCCACAGCATGTGACCTTTATCCCTTGAACTTTGAACTGGCATTTCAGCAGTCATCTCTCTGTCCACCCAGGGCCTATTCAGTCGGCTCTCTGTCCACCCAGGGCCTATTCAGTCGGCTCTCTGTCCACCCAGGGCCTATTCAGTCGGCTCCCTGTCCACCCAGGGCTTATTCAGTTGGCTCTCTGTCCACCCAGGGCCTATTCAGTTAGCTCTCTGTCCACCCAGGGCCTATTCAATCAGCTCTCTGTCCACCCAGGCCCTATTCAATCAGCTCTCTGTACACCCAGGGCCTATTCAGTCGGCTCTCTGTCCACCCAGGGCCTATTCAGTCGGCTCTCTGTCCACCCTGGGCCTATTCAGTCGGCTCTCTGTCCACCCAGGGCCTATTCAGTCGTCTCTCTGTCCACCCAGGGCCTATTCAGTCGTCTCTCTGTCCACCCAGGGCCTATTCAGTCATCTCTCTGTCCTTTACAGCTATTCTGATTGTTTTCTCACTCCTCTCTTCTCCAGTGAGATCCAAAGCCTAAGAAGGACAGTGTCCCCGCCTCCTCCTGACCAGGGCTCACATCTCAACTCCCTCTGCTCCTCGTCCACACCTCCCCCTCCCCAGCCCCCCCTGGACAACAGTCAGTACCTGGACATCACGGGAGCCTCAGAACCTGACAACCCCCCCACTGAGAGCAACCCCCCCACTCAGACCGTCAGTTCCCCTACACACACCTCTACACAACCCCTTGCCAAGCTAAAGTACAGAGGGACGGTGGTGTTTGACCAGCCCAACAGGTTAGTCTGAAGATATAGTGTAGTTACTCAGTGTGACCTGTAGATGGAGCCAGTGGCCCGTAATAGACAGTCTGATTCTATTTCTCTTGACTGGAATGAGCTTGATTCTCGTTCACTCTCTCTTGTCTTGTGTTTCTCGTTGACAGGAAGTTGTCACCAGCGTTCCAGCAGGCTCTGCTGTCCTTTTGTAAGATGTCAGCTGACAGTCGTCTGGGGGCAGAGGTTAGAGGTCATCCCTAATCAGTCACATGACCATAGTGTCAGCTATCTATGTCTAAGAGTATAGTATACTACTACAGAAACCATTGAAATATACAGTCCCCAGAGCTGTGGTATTTCTCGCTTTCATATTAGCCTTCTCTCCCAATTTGTGACAGTTTTTTACTCTCTGTCCATCTTTCTCTAGGTGTCGAGGATAGCAGACAATGAGGAGAGTGTGATGCTGATGTTGGGTCGCTGTCTCCCTCACATTGTCCCCAACGTACTCCTGGCCAAACGAGAGGTACCTCCCCCTCTTCTCCCCCCATCCTCCCATCAACACAGGCTTCTTTCTGTCTTTAGTTTGGAATTCAACATCTGACTCCACTGTTTTTCACCGGTTCTCATCTCTCCTCTTCCACTTTTTTGTCCTCTTGCTTTCACTTTTGTCTTTCTTTCACTCTCTCACTCATTGTCTGGCTCTGTGCATGCCTTACTGCTCCTAGAGAATGGTGGCACACCTGTGCCAGGTGAGTTGGACACGCCCACATCTGCATGACCTCACCTGACCTCACACCTAGGGGTAACACAGGCCCACGCCACGGGCTACAACCACACATCAGTCTCATCTGATTGGCTAGTTATTAAAACTCGAGCAGGGCAAAGCCATGCTAGAATTTCGATAATTTATGAAAAAGCTTATGTTAGGGGTAATGGCTAGTTTTAGTAATTAAGATTGCATATGCAGTTGTGGCCTGTATATATGCGGTAAAGGGATCAATCGAAATCGACCAAAACAATGGAAACGCCATTGTAATGCCCGTGGGGCATGGAATGGCCGCCAATGATGGCGTTCTTCTTCTATCCCCCACGGTCTGCATTCCATTGATCTCTTTACCGCATCTATGGTGGACTGTTTTATACCTCTGACCCTGTGCATTGTCACCCCGCTCCTCTGTGATTGGTTCCCATTAGCACTCAGTCTTCTCATTGGTTGATTATTTAATCTCTGATTGGCTGAAACAGGGGCCAACCAGAGCTGATTGAACGTCTATGTGTTTTGTATAATTTCACTTAACATTTGTATCTGATTTATAAACTAATTTGAGTGCATTGTGTGAGAAAGACCTGCAGTGTAACTGACGAACCGATTGAAAAACACTATCTGGCGTTGGTGTAAAATAAGTCATCGCTCTAAACAGTAAATGCTGATGGTTTCTTTCCGTGCCTAAAGGCGTCAGCATGCTTCAGTTTGGCTGGCGCCTAGCCTAACCGAACAAGTGTGCTCGCATACTCCCTTAAAATACCTTTGCTTGAAAAAATTGAATTAATATAAGATAACTCAAGAAATCTGTCATTCATTTTGATGTTTTTGCAGAGGAGATCTTAGTCACACTCAATTTTACATCTAACTAAGATGTTTGGTGCAGTATTTCTCAATGAAAAAAATTGCATGAAAGCGAGTCGCTTCTTGTTGAATGACAACAAAGACTTTATTTAAGAATCCCTACTGTTGACCAATCACTGACGAGTGGGCGTAGACTTCGGCTCCGTTCTTCAGCTTGCCTCCAGAACATTTTTTGTGTGCCCGAACAGCCGAATAAACCCTCACCGAAGTCCAAAACGAACAAAAAAACGTCACAAAATGTCGTTATAATATATGCACAAACTCTTCCAAACTGTTTTGGCTGGGAAGTATGCGGACGCATGTTTAAGTCCGCTATGGTTGGATTTGTGTGTTAGATTGTGGTGTGTGAGTTTGTGTGTGAGACTGTGGGGTGTGTGAGTTCATGTGTGAGATTGTGGTGTGTGCGAGTTTGTGTGTGAGTTTGTGGTGTGTGCGAGTTCGTGTGTGAGATTGTGGTGTGTGCGAGTTTGTGTGTGAGTTTGTGGTGTGTGCGAGTTTGTGTGTGAGTTTGTGGTGTGTGCGAGTTCGTGTGTGAGATTGTGGTGTGTGCGAGTTCGTGTGTGAGATTGTGGTGTGTGCGAGTTCGTGTGTGAGATTGTGGTGTGTGTGAAGGAGTGGTTGGGAGAGTCAGGTGGGCTCACCACACAGTCTGTGATTTGCATATCACAGTTATGGTTTTAATGATCTTCTGACAGTTATGAAGAATCTGGCTTCCCGCCAAAATCTAGGAAAAACAAAGTGAAGACAAAAGAGAGAGATTGTTCTGCCTCTGTGGAGGTGGGTATGGACTTTGTTCTGTGTCTGTTAGAAAGCCAGAATCAACACACACACACACACACCTTTGTGCTCCTACTGTTTGGAGGCCTCCCACTGCCAGCTCAAAAACACACCTTAAGTTCTAAACTTTCCACACTATGGACACGTGACTAGGAACAATAGACGTTTGACTTTGATGACTGACTGAATTAGTGTAACAGTAAAACTCTGCCTGCCACCTGTCCTCTTTACTATCAATACTCATAAATCATTATGGTCTTATGGCAGACAGACCAAGCCTACTCTAAGATACCGCCGAAAGATACTCCCCAATACCTGTATGGTCTTCATGGAACCAGATACTGACCAATACCTGTGTGGTCTTCATGGAACCAGATACTGATCAATACCTGTATGGTCTTCATGGAACCAGATACTGACCCAATACCTGTATGGTCTTCATGGAACCAGATACCGACCCAATACCTGTATGGTCTTCATGGAACCAGATACTGATCAATACCTGTATGGTCTTCATGGAACCAGATACTGACCCAGTACCTGTATGGTCTTCATGGAACCAGATACTCCCCAATACCTGTATGGTCTTCATGGAACCAGATACTGACCAATACCTGTATGTTCTTCATGGAACCAGATACTGACCAATACCTGTATGGTTTTCTTGAGAACCAGGACCATAAATAGTCAACAGTCCCACTTCCCATTTTTAAGTGCTTTGCTCAAGGGCACAATCGACAGGTTTTTCACTTAGTCGGCTCGGGTATTTGAACCAGGAACCTTTCGGTTATTGGCTCAACGCTCTTAACCGCTAGGCTACCTGCTGTCCTGATCTACCTGGTCTCTAGCTTACCAGAGAAATAATGACCTATATTCAGCACTGCAGCTGCACCTTACAACTGGGCTGCATCTAAATAGTCTAAAGTGCCTTATTTTGCCCTGATCTGAAAATGTCACTCTGCAATAGGTCCTAGTTGGCCACCCCTGGTCTCAACATGGTGGTACTGCAATAGGTCCTAGTTGGCCACCCCTGGTCTCAACATGGTGGTACTGCAATAGGTCCTAGTTGGCCACCCCTGGTCTAAACATGGTGGTACTGCAATAGGTCCTAGTTGGCCACCCCTGGTCTAAACATGGTGGTACTGCAATAGGTCCTAGTTGGCCACCCCTGGTCTAAACATGGTGGTACTGCAATAGGTCCTAGTTGGCCACCCCTGGTCTAAACATGGTGGTACTGCAATAGGTCCTAGTTGGCCACCCCTGGTCTAAACATGGTGGTACTGCAATAGGTCCTAGTTGGCCACCCCTGGTCTAAACATGGTGGTACTGCAATAGGTCCTAGTTGGCCACCCCTGGTCTAAACATGGTGGTACAGCAATAGGTCCTAGTTGGCCACCCCTGGTCTAAACATGGTGGTACTGCAATAGGTCCTAGTTGGCCACCCCTGGTCTAAACATGGTGGTACTGCAATAGGTCCTAGTTGGCCACCCCTGGTCTAAACATGGTGGTACTGCAATAGGTCCTATTGCTGTACCACCATGTTTAGACCAGGGGTGGCCAACTAGGACCTATTGCAGTACCACCATGTTTAGACCAGGGGTGGCCAACTAGGACCTATTCTGGTCTAACATGGTGGTCCTCTGTAGCTCAGCTGGTAGAGCACGGCGCTTGTAACGCCAAGGTAGTGGGTTCGATCCCCGGGACCACCCATACACAAAAAATGTATGCACGCATGACTGTAAGTCGCTTTGGATAAAAGCGTCTGCTAAATGGCATATTATTATTATTATATTATTATAAACATGGTGGTACTGCAATAGGTCCTAGTTGGCCACCCCAGGTCTAAACATGGTGGTACTGCAATAGGTCCTAGTTGGCCACCCCTGGTCTAAACATGGTGGTACTGCAATAGGTCCTAGAAGGCCACCCCTGGTCTAAACATGGTGGTACTGCAATAGGTCCTAGTTGGCCACCCCTGGTCTAAACATGGTGGTACTGCAATAGGTCCTAGTTGGCCACCCCTGGTCTAAACATGGTGGTACTGCAATAGGTCCTAGTTGGCCACCCCAGGTCTAAACATGGTGGTACTGCAATAGGTCCTAGAAGGCCACCCCTGGTCTAAACATGGTGGTACTGCAATAGGTCCTAGAAGGCCACCCCAGGTCTAAACATGGTGGCACTGCAATAGGTCCTAGTTGGCCACCCCAGGTCTAAACATGGTGGTACTGCAATAGGTTCTAGAAGGCCACCCCAGGTCTAAACATGGTGGTACAGCAATAGGTCCTAGTTGGCCACCCCAGGTCTAAACATGGTGGTACTGCAATAGGTCCTAGTTGGCCACCCCTGGTCTAAACATGGTGGTACTGCAATAGGTCCTAGTTGGCCACCCCTGGTCTAAACATGGTGGTACTGCAATAGGTCCTAGTTGGCCACCCTGGTCTAAACATGGTGGTACTGCAATAGGTCCTAGTTGGCCACCCCTGGTCTAAACATGGTGGTACTGCAATAGGTCCTAGTTGGCCACCCCTGGTCTAAACATGGTGGTACTGCAATAGGTCCTAGTTGGCCACCCCTGGTCTAAACATGGTGGTACTGCAATAGGTCCTAGTTGGCCACCCCTGGTCTAAAACATGGTGGTACTGCAATAGGTCCTAGTTGGCCACCCTGGTCTAAACATGGTGGTACTGCAATAGGTCCTAGTTGGCCACCCCTGGTCTAAACATGGTGGTACTGCAATAGGTCCTAGTTGGCCACCCCTGGTCTAAACATGGTGGTACTGCAATAGGTCCTAGTTGGCCACCCCTGGTCTAAACATGGTGGTACTGCAATAGGTCCTAGTTGGCCACCCCTGGTCTAAACATGGTGGTACTGCAATAGGTCCTAGTTGGCCACCCCTGGTCTAAACATGGTGGTACTGCAATAGGTCCTAGTTGGCCACCCCTGGTCTAAACATGGTGGTACTGCATAGGTCCTAGTTGGCCACCCCTGGTCTAAACATGGTGGTACTGCAATAGGTCCTAGTTGGCCACCCCTGGTCTAAACATGGTGGTACTGCAATAGGTCCTATTTGGCCACCCCTGGTCTAAACATGGTGGTACTGCAATAGGTCCTAGTTGGCCACCCCTGGTCTAAACATGGTGGTACTGCAATAGGTCCTAGTTGGCCACCTCGGGTGTAAACATGGTGGTACTGCAATAGGTCCTAGTTGGCCACCCCTGGTCTAAACATGGTGGTACTGCAATAGGTCCTAGTTGGCCACCCCTGGTCTAAACATGGTGGTACTGCAATAGGTCCTAGTTGGCCACCCCTGGTCTAAACATGGTGGTACTGCAATAGGTCCTATTTGGCCACCCCTGGTCTAAACATGGTGGTACTGCAATAGGTCCTAGTTGGCCACCCCTGGTCTAAACATGGTGGTACTGCAATAGGTCCTAGTTGGCCACCTCGGGTGTAAACATGGTGGCACCATGGTGTCTCCATGGCTGCTCTACCTGCCCACATGTTGACCCAACATTGGCCAGATGTTTTCCTTGGAACATATCTGTGGCTTGGTTCTGGAATAGAATGGGGTCAGATAGGGTTCACTAGTTCTGCAATAGAACAAGGTCAGATAGGGTTCACTGGTTCTGGAATAGAACAAGGTCAGATAGGGTTCAATGGTTCTGGAATAGAACAAGGTCAGATAGGGTTCACTGATTCTGGAATAGAACAAGGTCAGATAGGGTTCACTGATTCTGGAATAGAACAAGGTAAGATAGGGTTCACTGATTCTGGAATAGAACAAGGTTGAAGTAGGGAAAGCTATACCTAGTCAGTTGCACAACTGAATGCATTAAACCGAAACGTGTCTTCCGCATTTTACCCAACCCCCTGCCTGGCTGCCTTAATCGACGTCTGGGGAGAAGTTGTTGTGCGGGTTAACTGCCTTGCTCGAATTCAATTTTAAATTCCATTTTAATCTTGTCTCTAACAGTTTGTGAAAGCACATCAGAATAGTTGTCATTCTGTCTGGGGCTTGTGTTGAGTGTGAAGCACATCATATATTTATTTGAATGAGTGACAGTTGTACTCAGCATCTACAGACATCCAGCATACTCTGAGTGAGTAATTTCAGGGCTTCCCCTCCATTCCCCAGCCTCTCTCACAATTGATAGTCTTTGGTTTTATTTTGTTGTTCTGCCAACATTCAACTTTGGGTTTGGTCATTCTGCCAATGTTCATCAGGAAAATATGAAACCTTCCTGGAAAACCCTGCTGGTTTCAAAAAAGAAAATACATATTTTTAACAGTGTTTTTAAGTGTATCCTCTCTCTCTCTCTAATTTGGTTGTGTGTGCGGTAGGAAAGTAGAGCTAACCACAGTTTGACCATGAGGCAGAATGAAGGGCTGTCTGCCTGTCCCGTCCCGTCATGAGGCAGTATGAAGGGCTGTCTGCCCGTCCCGTCCCGAGGCAGTATGAAGGGCTGTCTGCCTGTCCCGTCATGAGGCAGTATGAAGGGCTGTCTGCCCGTCCCGTCCCGTCATGAGGCAGTATGAAGGGCTGTCTGCCTGTCCCGTCCTGTCATGAGGCAGTATGAAGGGCTGTCTGCCTGTCCCGTCCCGTCATGAGGCAGTATGAAGGGATGTCTGCCTGTCCCGTCCCGTCATGAGGCAGTATGAAGGGCTGTCTGCCCGTCCCGTCCTGGAACTAGGCTTTAGTTTTTGTTCTCTCTCTCTCTCTCCAGGCTGGTTCTCGTATGAACTTCACATGACCTTTACTGTTCATGAAGGAACTTGGTCTAAACCAGGGGGTACCAGTCATTCATATTAGAAAACCATGAGACATTGTCATGATACATGGATGTACATGATAACAGCACATTGTTTCCTCTGGTTTCCAGTTAATTTGCCCCTTGTTCTGTTTCTGTTGGTGGTGATTACACAGTGTTGTTCTTAAACTCCCTCTCTCTTACCCATTACCCCCCCCCCCCCCCCCCCCCCCCCCCCCCTTCACCCAAAGAGCCACAAACCCAAACTGATCTCTCTCTCTCTCTCTTCTCTCTCTCCCACTCTCTCTCTCTCATCCCTCTCTCCATCCCTCTGTCTCTCTCTATCTCTCTGTTTCTAGGAGTTGATTCCTCTCATCCTGTGTACGGCGTGCCTCCACCCGGAGCCTAAAGAGAGAGACCAGCTCCTCCACATCCTCTTCAACCTCATCAAGAGACCTGACGACGAACAGAGGTGTGTGTGTGTCTTTTTATACCTATCTGTGGGTTTCTAGGCTGATGATCAAAGATGATCTTGACGGTGTGTGTATTAACTACATGTGTGTGTCTGTCTATAGGCGGATGATCCTAACAGGTTGTGTGGCGTTTGCCAGACATGTTGGTCCTACTAGAATCGAGGCTGAACTCCTACCACAATGCTGGGAACAGGTAGCTACTTCTCTCTCTCTCTCTCTCTCTCTCTCTCTCTCTCTCTCTCTCTCTCTCTCTCTCTCTCTCTCTCTCTCTCTCTCTCTCTCTCTCTCTCTCTCTGAAAATATTCCTAATTTAGTTTTTTGTTGCTGGTGATACACAAACAGTTATTGGTTGCTATGGATACGACCAATATATTGTGCCACGTTTCCAATAATATCCCAATAAAGACAGATCAGCATGTTCTAATCTACAGGGTTACCCCTCATCACATCCTCCTCACTCTCTCTCGCTCTCTCCCCCAGATCAACCATAAGTATTCAGAGAGGAGGTTGTTGGTAGCAGAGGCCTGTGGAGCCTTAGCACCTTACCTGCCTGTAAGATTCCCGCACACACACTATCTCTCTCTCTCACACACACAGATACATACACACACCGGTACTTACACACATAACACCTGTACTCACATGTTATCACACAGCTTATCTGCCTGTTAGACACTCTGCCTGTGTGTGTGTGTGTTCTCACTCTGCCTGTGTGTGTGTGTGTGTGTTCTCACTCTGCCTGTGTGTGTGTGTGTTCTCACTCTGCCTGTGTGTGTGTGTGTGTTCTCACTCTGCCTGTGTGTGTGTGTGTGTTCTCACTCTGCCTGTGTGTGTGTGTGTGTGTTCTCACTCTGCCTGTGTGTGTGTGTGTGTTCTCACTCTGCCTGTGTGTGTGTGTGTGTTCTCACTCTGCCTGTGTGTGTGTGTGTGTTCTCACTCTGCCTGTGTGTGTGTGTGTGTTCTCACTCTGCCTGTGTGTGTGTGTGTGTGTGTGTTCTCACTCTGCCTGTGTGTGTATGTGTGTTCTCACTCTGCCTGTGTGTGTGTGTGTGTGTGTTCTCACTCTGCCTGTGTGTGTGTGTGTGTGTTCTCACTCTGCCTGTGTGTGTGTGTTCTCAGAAGGAGATACGTAGTTCGCTGGTGTTGTCCATGCTGCAGCAGATGTTAGCTGAAGACAAGGCAGACATGGTCAGAGAGGCTGTGGTCAAAAGCCTCGCTATCATCATGGGATACATCGACGACCCTGACAAGTACTCCCAGGTGTGTGCGTGTTCGAAAGGCTTTCTGACCGTTTGGTTGTGTTAAATGAACTGTGGTCATGTTAAAGTGACTGTGGTCGTGTTGTGTTCATGTTGCGGTCAGGGTTTCGAGTTGATGTTGCTGTCCCTCGGTGACCCATCGGAGAGGGTGGTCAGTGCTATCCACCAGGTGTTCATCCCAGCGTTCGCTGCCTGGACCACAGAGCTGGGAAACCTCCAGACCACTCTCATCCCCTCTCTACTGGCCCGCATAGAGAAACTACTCAAGGTAGGTAGAGCCACAGGACTTTGGTTATTTGACATGTGTAAGATTTTTTGTTGTTGTTGTTGATCCCAATGGATCAATAAGGTTGATCAGTAGATGGAGAAGTGAATGCTCTAACCCCCCCCCTCTCTCTCTCTCTCTCTCTCGCTCTCTCTCTCCATCTCTCTCTCTCCATCTATCTCTCTCTCTCTCTCCATCTATCTACCTATCTCTCTCTCTCTCTCTCTCTCCATCTCTCTCTCTCTCTCCATCTCTCTCTCTCTATCTGTGCCTCCCTCCTTCTCTCCAGCAGGGTGAACATGGTCTTGATGAACACAAGCTCCACATGTTCCTGTCGGCCCTCCAGTCTCTCATCCCTCCTCTGTTCTCTGTGGTGCTCCAGAACGCTCCCTTCACACACAGGGTCAACCTGAAGGGAAACATCCCCCCCATAGAGGGTAGGACACACACACACATGAAATTGGAAGCCAGTAACCTTGATATGTTCTGACTACCATATTCTCCCACAATCTCTAGTATTTTGCATCCCTGACCTTTAACCCCTGACTCCTAACCTATGACTCCTGTTTGACTCGTCAGTGACGCGGTTCCCTCGGCCAGCGTCCCCTCTTCAGGATTTAGCGACTATCGTGGGCAGCCGGGAGACGCTGAGCGCCCTCCTCATCCTGTATGATTACCAGCTAGAACATGAAGGCACTACAGGCTGGGACAGTCTGCTGTGGGTGGTCAACCAACTGTGAGTGGTCTATACACTAAACATTCACATGCATTTATATTTATATATATATATATATATATATATATATATATATATATATATATATATATATATATATATATACACACACACACACTGAGTGGACATAACATTAGGAACACCTGCTCTTTCCATGACAAAGACTGACCAGGTGAATCCAGGTGAACGCTATGAACCCTTATTGATGTTAAATCCACTTCAATCAGTGTAGATGAAGGAGAGGAGACGGGTTAAAGAAGATTTGAGACATGGATTGTGTATGTGTGCCAGTCAGAGGGTGACTGGGCAAGACAAAATATTTAAGTGCCTTTGAACGGGGTATGCTAGTAGGTGCCAGGCGCACCGGTTTGTTTCAAGAACTGCAACGCAGCTGAGTTTTTCACGCTCAACAGTTTCCCGTGCTTATCAAGACGGGTCCACCACGCAAACGACATCCAGCCAATTTGACACAACTGTGGGAAGCATTGGAGTCAACATGGGCCAGCATCGCTGTGGAACGCTTTCGACACCTTGTAGAGTCCATGCCCCGACGAATTGAGGCTGTTCTAAGGGCAAAGGGGGGTGCAACGAAATATTAATGTTTTGTACACTCAGTATATATGTATACACACACATGCATATACACTATATATACAAAAGTATGTGGACACCCCGTCAAATTAGTGGATTCGACAGTTTCAGCCACAACTGTTGCTGACGGGTATAAAATCGAGCACACTGCCATGCAATCTCCATAGACAAACATTGGCAGTATAATGGCCTTACTGAACAGCTCAGTGACTTTCAACGTGGCACCGTCATAAGATGCCACCTTTCCAACAAGTCAGTTCGTCAAATTTCTGCCCTGCTACAGCTGCCCCGGTCAACTGTAAGTGCTGTTATTGTGAAGTGGAAACATCTAGGAGCAACAACGGCTCATCTGCGAAGTGGTAGGCCACACAAGCTCACAGAACGGGACCGCCGTGTGCTAAAGCACGTAGTGCGTAAAAATAGTCTGTCCTCGCTTCCAACACTCACTACCAAGTTCCAAACTGCCTCTGAAAGCAACGTCAGCACAAGAACTGTTGGTCGGGTGCTTCATGAAATGGGTTTCCATGGCCGAGCAGCTGCACACAAGCCTAAGATCACCATGCGCAATGCCAAGCGTCGGCTGGAGTGGTGTAAAGCCCGACGCCATTGGACTCTGGAGCAGTGTAAATGCGTTCTCTGGAGTGATGAATCAGTCTTCACCATCTGGCAGTCCGATGGACGAGTCTGGGTTTGGCGTTAGCCAGGAGAACACTACCTGCCCCAATGCATAGTGCCAACTGTAAAGTTTGGTGGAGGAGGAATAATGGTCTGGAGCTGTTTTTCATGGTCCGGGCAAGGCCCCTTAGTTCCAGTGAAGGAAAATCTTAACGCTACAGCATACAATGACATTCTAGACGATTCTGTGCTTCCAACTTTGTGGCAACAGTTTGGGGAAGGCCCTTTCCTGTTTCAGCATGACAATGCCCCCGTGCACAAAGCAAGGTCCATACAGAAATTGTTTTTTTCGAGATCGGTGTGGAAGAACTTGACTGGCCTGCACAGAGCCCTGACCTCAACCCGATCTAACACTTTGGGATGAATTGGAACGCCGACAGCGAGCCAGGCCTAATCGCCCAACCTCCGTGCCCGACCTCACTAATGCTCTTGTGGCTGAATGGAAGCAAGTCCCCGCAGTAATGTTCCAACATCTAGTGGAAATCCTTCCCAGAAGAGTGGAGGCTGTTATAGCAGCAAAGGGGGGACCAACTCCATATTAATGCCCATGATTATGGAATGAGATGTTCGACGAGCAGGTGTCCACATACTTTTGGTCATGTAGTGTATATAGACACACACACACACACAGATACACACACAGACACACACACACTCCTGACCCCCTCTCCTCTCTCTCCAGTCTTCCCCAGCTGATAGAGATAGTAGGTCGTATTAACGTAACCTCCACTACGTGTGTCCATGAGTTCTCACGCTTCTTCTGGAGACTCTGTCGCACGTTTGGCAAGATCTTCACTAACACTAAGGTAAGAATGTCTACTGGTCCACTGTAGGCCTCGTGCTGGACAGAATCTGTGCTCTTCTATTCATTTCATTGGTGCTGACTGTAGCGCTGTGTCCTCTCTCTTTCAGGTAAAACCACAGTTCCAAGAGATCCTACGTCTATCTGAAGAGAATGTTGGTAAGTGGAAGACACAGACCTTTTATAAATCATCTATTTTATGGGGATCAGGACTGGGTGTTTCTCACTTCTTCTTCTCATCCTCTGAATATATCTGAAGTTTAAACGAGGTTGTGGTCTGATATCGCTGCCAAGTGTTTTTATTTGTGTCTGGTCTTGTGTGCATGCCAACTATTCTCTGTTTCATAAACTCACTGAACAGGAAATATGTTACATGGTCATATGTCCATTTCTCTTTCTCCAATATTGTTATTCTCTCTCTCCTAGATGCTTTAACAGGGAATGGTATTCTGACCAAGGCTACAGTTCCAGTCTATGCTACAGGAGTACTGACATGCTACAGTCAGGTAAACAAGTGTGTTTTGGTGCATGTTTGTCATTGGGACACTGATCCGTCTTTCTAATAACTGGGTCATTCCACGTAATGAGTGCCTTTTGCGTCCCTTTCATATTTTAAGTAGACATTTTGCACAAATATTGAATTTTAAAAGCCTTTTATATTAAATTAAGTGCTCTTTAATATAGACCACATGGAAAATTCAATCAATCAGATTTTTTCGATATGAATAAAGACTTGCTAAAAGTGCATTTTGACACCTCTGTGCATCCTCTAGGAAGATTTTAACCCACTTAACCCCATCGTTTCTCCAAGTTTCACCATCATTGTCAAGCCCTAGTTATTTTGTTGCTTTGACAAAGTATTTTCTGAAGATTATTGTTTATTTCATGTGATTTAGTGATTCATTTTAAGAAGGGAAAAAAATCTACCTGTCCCTCATTTTAAGGTCAACCCTGTTCCGTGGTCTGAACTCTCGTTTTAATATGGTGAAACTATTCAAAAGAGAAATTGAACATCTAAAAGTGAAATCATAGTGTAAAAGAAGGTGAACAGGTTCTACTCTTTTTGGGCATTTTCTGTTTTGTGGTGGAAAGCTGAGCGGTCGAGTATAACACGTAAACCCTGTTACCCATAGATGGACAGGCTAGAAATGTTTGAACAATTTATTATAAAAAAATGTGACGCTTGCGTTCAATTGCCACTCCCTGTTGCACACAACGAGCTTCCATTCCCCCTGTCACAAAGGGATTTATGGCTGATTTTAATATGAAATCGTCAACACTGTTCAACCTTATTTAACCTTGTGATATTGGAAAACATGTTTTTTATTTATGTTTGTTAAAATAAACTTTTTTTTTTTACAAAGTTACACTACTCAAAAAATACCTAATTGGTGGAACCACCCAACTGTTGACACTCAGCATATAATGTGTCTATAATGTGTGTAATGTGTATAATGTGTGTGTTTATGTGTAATGTGTGTGTTCCACCAGGATGAGGATCGTAAGCTGCTGGTTGGTTTTCTAGAGGACGTCATGACGACCCTGTCTCTCTCCCACGCCCCCCTGGACAGCCTCAAAGCCTCCTTCATAGAGCTGGGGTAACACACGCACACAGATACACACAGACACATACACAGACACACACAGACACAGACACAAGAGTCGGACAGAATGATAACTGTGAAATAAGCAATATATTGTTTTTACTTAGATCTCCCTCTGTCTCTCTCTCCTCCCCACTCTCTCTTTCTCTCTCTCCCCCCTCTCTTTCTCCCCCTCTCTCTCTCTCTCCCCCTCATCTCTTGCTCTCCCACATCCCTCTCTCCATCTTTCTCTCTCTCTCTCTCTCTCTCTCTCTCTCTCTCTCTCTCTCTCTCTCTCTCTCTCTCTCTCTCTCTCTCTCTCTCTCAGAGCTAACCCAGTGTACCATGAGTTGTTACTGACAGTACTGTGGTACGGGGTGGTCCATACCTCCGCTCTGGTCCGCTGTACCGCTGCACGCATGTTTGAGGTACGACACCCTGCTGCAACGCACCACACACACACATATACACACACACGTTAACTCACTGAACAACATGCTTTATAGTCTAGTGGCTAATGTCAGACCATGTAAGGATGACACTGTATTTGGATTGCGGTGTTTTTATGGACACCTGTTTGTCATGGACTAGAAGTTGTCTCCCAGCTGATTTAAACGTACAGTTGTTATAGTGTTGTTGGAACACTGATAAGGTTCTAAAGGTTTTTATTATGCAAACAGAACTATACTGGTTTGCAATGCCTCCCGATGTGTTTCCCCTGCAGCAGACACTGCTTGTTATTGCCTACCCTCTCTATGGTCTGATTAGATTTGAATCCCTAACCCCTTCCCAGAGCCAGTACCCCTTCCTAAGCACCTAAGAGGTAGGAGCTAGGGAAAAGCCTAGGACCAAAATAGAATAAGACCTAGATAAAATACACTCTTGATGAAGAGGAGATGTTGTTGCACTCTCCCCCTCCCCCCTCATAGTGGTATAGACACCCCCCTCCCCTCCCCCCTCATAGTGGTATAGACACCCCCCTCCCCCCTCATAGTGGTATAGACACCCCCCTCCCCCTCCCCCCTCAAAGTGGTATAGACACCCCCCTCATAGTGGTATAGACACCCCCCTCCCCCCTCATAGTGGTATAGACACCCCCTCATAGTGGTATAGACACCCCCCCCCCTCCCCCTCCCCCCTCATAGTGGTATAGACATCCCCCTCCCCCCTCATAGTGGTATAGACACCCCCCTCCCCCCTCATAGTGGTATAGACACCCCCCCTCCCCCTCCCCCCTCATAGTGGTATAGACACCCCCCTCATAGTGGTATAGACACCCCCCCTCCCCCTCCCCCCTCATAGTGGTATAGACACCCCCCCTCCCCCCTCATAGTGGTATAGACACCCCCCTCCCCCCCTCCCCCCTCATAGTGGTATAGACACCCCCCTCCCCCCTCATAGTGGTATAGACTCCCCCTCCCCCCATCACTGTCATAGTGGTATAGACACCCCCCTCCCCCCTCATAGTGGTATAGACTCCCCCCTCCCCCCTCATAGTGGTATAGACACCCCCCTCCCCCCTTCACTCTCATAGTGGTATAGACACCCCCCCCCCCCCCCCCTTCACTGTCATAGTGGTATAGACACCCCCCTCCCCCCTCATAGTGGTATAGACCACCCCCCTCCCCCCTCCCCCTCATAGTGTATAGACACCCCCTCCCCCCTCATAGTGGTATAGACTCCCCCTCCCCCCCATCACTGTCATAGTGGTATAGACACCCCCCTCCCCCCTCATAGTGGTATAGACATCCCCCTCCCCCCCTCATAGTGGTATAGACACCCCCCTCCCCCTTCACTCTCATAGTGGTATAGACACCCCCCTCCCCCCTTCACTCTCATAGTGGTATAGACACCCCCCTCCCCCCTTCACTCTCATAGTGGTATAGACACCCCCCCCCTCCCCCTTCACTGTCATAGTGGTATATCCCACCCTACCATTCTCAGCAGGCTAGGTAGAACCCTAACCACAGATGTAGGATCAGATTCCTCTGCCCCCAGTCCTAGCCATCACTATTAAGGCATGGACAAAGATCTGACTCTGGACCAGTGGTTAGGGGGTAACTTCTACCAGCTCTGTTCGCTTGGCTCCTCACTTATTATTTGTTGTAAATTTTTTTGTTAATGTGTGTGTTGTTTTGTTGTGTGTGTGTGTGTGTTTGGTTGTGTGTGTGTGTGTGTGTGTTTGGTTGTGTGTGTGTGTGTGTGTGTGTGTTTGGTTGTGTGTGTGTGTGTGTGTTTTAGTTGTGTGTGTGTTTGGTTGTGTGTGTGTGTGTGTGTGTTTGGTTGTGTGTATGTTTACTTGATGGCGTGCATGACCTGCGTACCTGCCATGCCGCTGCTGCTACTTCTTGTCGTTGTATATCACTTTTTTCTGTTTTGTTTTCCTTTTCCCCCTCCTCCTCCCTCTCTCGGTGTGTTGCCGTGACACTGCTGGCTCTGTCTGTGGCCCGCCCCTGGGCTGTTACATCACTGTGACCTCACGGCTGTGTTGTCCAATCAGCTGCTGGTGAAGGGGGTGAATGAGACGCTGGTGGCTCAGAGGGTGGTGCCCGCTCTCATCACGCTCTCCAGCGACCCTGAAATGTAAGTGTCCCCCTGCTGCCTCGTCTGGCCACCTCGACCCTACCACCTCGCAGGAAGAACCCCACATCATCGGGAGATTTTGATTGGTTTAATAGTGGATTTGATTGGGGCAGACAGTCAAAGAGCTCAAAAAGCTAAACAAATCCGACCACAAGGTAAATTACGTGAACTTGACTAAAGTGAACTAAATTGTGTCTCAAACTCAGGGATAGAGACACTGAGGCATTGCAGCATGAATCCAGTGCAAAGTAGGTGCTCTCTCTAAAAGTGTATATTTTCTCTGCTCTCTCAGATGTTTTCAAGTCTGTCTGACTCTGGGTAAAAATCTTCTTTGGGGTTTCTTCCTGTTGAGGTGCGGTCGACCGGTTCTGTGATGTTAATGTTTACTGTCTCTAAAACCACACATCATCAGTGTGCGACATTAACCATCACAAGCTATTATCGCATCATCAGCCTGCGCCACTAACCCACATCCCGGTCAACTCAATATAACCATGCTTGAAAGGACGGAAGTATGATGCTTTCTAACCATAACATGTGATTTAAACACTAACCCAAACCCTTACCTCTAACCTAAACCATTTCATAAACCCAAACGTTAACTCTTTAATTAATACCAAATATCTAATGTACTGAAGATATAAGGGATATTGTCCTTTCTGGCATAGCCGTCTAGTAACTACCCAATCATGTTCATCGCATCATCAGTCTACCGACACTAACCCAACTTGCGCTCTGATTGGCTGCATTTAGAGGCATCCCAGCATGCTCAGCTGTAATGCCTTACCCCCCTCCCCCTTCCTCCTCCTCACCCACTTTTTAGCAGATCCCCCCCTCAGCCTCCAACTCTCAGGTCCTGGACGATTGTCTTCACCTCTCCCTCCCTCCTAACCTCTCCCTCCCTCCATCCTAACCTCTTCCTCTCTCTCTCCTAACCTCTCCCTCTTCCTCTCGCCCTCCTAACCTCTCCCTCTCTCCCTCCTATCCGTTTCCAGTTGATTCTGCGAGGCATGTCAGAAGCTTTAATAGACCGTTGGGTGGCCCCAGCTCTCATAACACTGTGCACTGGGCCTGAATTGTGAGTCAACAAAGACGTTTTCGCTCCTCTTCTCCTCTCTCTCCCTCTCGCTCCCTCTCCCTCCTCTGCATCCTCGTGGTTTCTTTGAATGTATTATATTGTTTAAATCCATACTGACACTGGACTGATCTAACATCACCATTAACCTTGGCATTAACATACATGATCCACACTGATGATTGGTTGGTGTTGCTCAGTGTTCTATTGTTATAGTCTGAGCTGCATCTTGGAGTGTTTATAAAGCAGAGACCTGGTTCTATTCTAACTCCTGTCTGGGTTATAGTTCAGTCAGGATATCTACTATCCCTGCCTTTGGCACCATCATGGAGACAGTCACGCAGAAAGAGGTACGAACATCTATATTTACAAACAGACATACACTACCGTTCAAAAGTTTGGGGTCACTTAGAGTAGCAAAGAAAAAGCCATATCTCAGACTGGCCAATAAAAATAAAAGATTAAGATGGGCAGTCTTGAGATATGGCTTTTTCTTTGCCTAGAAGGTCAGCATCCCGGAGTCACCTCTTCACTGTTGAAGTTGAGACTGGTGTTCTGCGGGTACTATTTAATGAAGCTGCCAGTTGAGGACCTGTGAGACGTCTGTTTCTCAAACTAGACACTCTATTGTATTTGTCCTCTTGCTCAGTTGTGCACCAGGGCCTCCCACTCCTCTTTCTATTCTGGTTAGAGCCAGTTTGCGCTGTTCTGTGAAGGGAGTAGTACACAGCATTGTACGAGATCTTCAGTTTCTTGGCAATTTCTTGCATTGAATAGCCTTCATTTCTCAGAACTAGAGTAGACTGACGAGTTTCAGAAGAAAGTTATTTGTTTCTGGCCATTTTGAGCCTGTAATCAAACCCACAATTGCTGATGCTCCAGATACTCAACTAAGTCTCAAGAAGGCCAGCACAACAGTTTTCAGATGTGCTAACATAATTGCGAAATGGTTTTCTAATGATCAATTAAATTAGCCTTTTAAAAAGATAAACTTGGATTAGCAAACACAACGTGCCATTGGAACACAGGACTAATGGTGGCTGATAATGGGCCTCTGTACGCCTATGTAGATATTCTATAAAAAATCTGCCGTTTCCAGCTACAATAGCCATTTTTACAACATTAACAATGTCTACACTGTATTTCTGATCCATATTATGTTATTTTAATGGACAAAAAAATTGCTTTTCTTTCGAAAACAAGGACATTTCTAAGTGACCCCAAACTTTTGAACGGTAGTGTACATGAACATACTAAACACATGCATAAACAAGTCTGGGTTGTATGTTTGAGAACAGGTGTGTATATTAATGTGTGTGTGTGTGTATATTAATGTGTGTGTGTGTGTGTGTGTGTGTATTTAATGTGTGTGTGTATACTAATGTGTGTGTATTAATGTGTGTGTGTATACTAATGTGTGTGTATATTCATGTGTGGGTGTGTATTAAATGTGTGTGTGGGTGTGTATATTAATGTGTGTGGGTGTGTATATTAATGTGTGTGTGTGTATATATGAATGAGTGCGTGTGTGTGTATTCATGTGTTTGTGTCTGTATTAATGTGTGTGTGTATTAATGTGTGTGTGTATTAATGTATGTGTGTGTGTGTATTAATGTGTGTGTGTGTGTATTAATGTATGTGTGTGTGTGTGTGTGTGTGTTTGTGTGTGTGTGTATTAATGTGTGTGAATGTGTATTAATGTATGTGTGTGTGTGTATTAATGTGTGTGTGTGTGTGTGTGTATTAATGTGTGTGTGTGTGTGTGTGTGTGTCTATATTAATGTGTGTGTGTGTCTATATTAATGTGTGTGTGTGTGTATTAATGTGTGTGTGTGTGTATTAATGTATGCGCGTGTCCCAGCTGTTGGAGCGTGTGAAGATGCAGCTAGCGTCGTTCCTGGAGGACCCACAGTACCAGCACCAGCACTCTCTACACATGGAGATTATCAGGACCTTCGGACGGGTCGGACCCAACGCTGACCCACGCTTCAGAGACGAGTGTCAGTACTGTCACACACACACACACACACACACACACACACACACACACACAGTAATATTGTCTGTGTTTTCCATCTATCAGTTGTGCTCCCCCACCTCCACAAGCTAGCGTTGGTTAACAACGTCCAGGCGACAGACAGTAAGAGGATAGACATCGCTACTCAGCTGTTTGAGGCCTACAGCGCTCTCTCATGCTGCTGTATCCTTCACCTTGTGGAGCACCACCGTGTGTGTGTGTCCTGCTACTGTGTACATAACTTACCTCACCCTTTAATCGTCGTTGAGGCGAACAGCTACATGTAACGAGTTGAGTCAAGAGGCCTTTAAAAGGATAAGCTAAACCAGGGCAATAGTTCATAGACTAGCGGTATGTACAGAGTGTTGGCTTGGCTTGGGTTCAGGGGAGAAGGTTTTATGTAACTTTTAGAGCCGTGACTCAGAATATGTCTTTAAAATAACATGACCTGGGTCAAGACTAGGTTAGTGTAGTCAGTGGATCCTATGGGGCGGGTGGTTAAAAACGTAATTATTTGTGGTTCTGGGCTCAACTTGCCCTGCCTCATTAGACAGGTATATATACACTGAATTAGTTTTCTATTATAGCTGTATGTGTGTGTGTGCCTTCAAACTTTTTTTTAGCTGTCAACTATTTTATCTGGACTAAAAGGTCTTTGGTCTTTGGCATCAACTTTGATCTTTGTATATGTGTGACAGAGGTGTGTGTGTGTGTGTGTGTGTGTGACAGAGGTGTGTGTGTGTGTGTGTGTGACAGAGGTGTGTGTGTGTGTGACAGAGGTGTGTGTGTGTGTGTGTGTGTGTGTTTTGTGTGTTTGTGTGTGTGTGTGTGTGTGTGTGTGACAGAGGTGTGTGTGTGTGTGTGTGACAGAGGTGTGTGTGTGTGTGTGTGTGTGTAGATTGTGCAGTGGTTGCCTGTCCCGTTGGCGAGTGGAGAAAGGAAAATAAACTCTCCGTTTTGGGGCTGTAGGCGGATTACAGGGTTGACTGAGCGGAGAGAGGGAGGGAGTTAGAGACGGACCACAGCCCACAGAGAGAAAGAGAGCGAGGGAGTTAGAGACGGACCACAGCCCACAAATAGGAGAGCGAGGGACAGAGAAAGAGACCACAGAGAGAGGGAGAAGCCAGGAGAGAAAATGAGACAGGGAGAGCTGCCTCCAAGCCTTTGGTCAGAGGTTCCAACCATAGGGCTCAGTGCGTGCATGCGTGCACGTCCTTCCCTGAATGTGTTCCCAAAATGGTGTGGTTTCACAAGGGTATATTTCACAGCTCAGAGACCTCCCTAACCTTCTCTCTGGTGACCTTCATACACACACACACACACACATCTACCCACCCACCCACCAGCTGGCTGAGGTTTGGTACTGTGTGAGTATAGCAGGCTATACTGGGGGTCTCATGTAGCGTTGGTCACAGTGCCTAAACCCCTGACAGATCACTCACTATCAGCGCCTGGGGCTGTGACATCATCAGTGTGTGCGACGAGCCAGTGGAAGTACTGTGGCCCTCTGGGTAATGTAGTCATATAACAGCCTCACTAATCTTACCTACTTGTTGTTAAACTGTGTTAGTGTTTGGTTGTCCAGTGTTCACTGTTGTTAAACTGTGTGTACTGTAAGTGTTCAGTTGTCCAGTAGGTTTTGTAAAACTCTGTGTTGGTATTTGGTTGTCCAATATTAGTCTAGTTAAACTCTGTTAGTCTTCAGTTGTACAGTAAAACATTTATTTAAACTGTTTGGTTGTCCAATATGTGTTGTTAAACCCCTGTGTTAGTATTTAGTTGTCTGGTAAGTTTTGTTCAACTCTGTGTTAGTGTTTGGTTGTCCTCTCCTTGACATCCTGTTCCAGTCATCTCAGAGGAGCTTATGGTGAATCACTTCCTGCCTGGCCTGAGGTGTCTGAGGACGGACATGGAACAGCTATCTCCTGAACACGAGGTACACACACACACACACACACACACACACACACACACACTGACCACACAGTAGCTCTTCCAAACTACATCAACTGACCTGTTTCCCATGCCAGCTAAAGACCAGCTGGTTCCCTGTCCCAGTCCACTCACCACAGCGTGATGTTGTCTCCAGCAGGGAAACTCACCAGGCATACTTTCCACAGCACAGCAGTCTGGTATGTTTTCCACTGTGTCTTGTTGCAGGTGATCCTTACCTCCATGATAAAGGAGGGGGAGATGAAAGTAGAGAACAGAGGGATCGGACAGGCCGAGGGGTGAGTACTAACACACACCATTAAAACAGCGCCCCTATGTATGTATACTATGTCAGAGCATTCAAAACACACACACACACACACACACACACACACTTTCCTAGCCTGCTGGTTTTGATCCCAAACCATGAGTGGTTTTGAAAAATTTTTTTGTCATTTAGCAGACGCTCTTATCCAAAGCGATTTACGGTAGTGAGTGCAAACATTTAAATATTTTTTTCATACTGGTCCCCGTAAGAATCGAACCCACAACCTTGGCGCTGCAAGCACCATGCTCTATCAAATGAGCTACACGGGACTTGCTGGGTCACAGTCACATGACCCTCCTCTGGAAGCCTAGCTTCAGAAAACAAGTAGAGAAACTGAAGCTTTAGATTCAGATCATTGGTGAGGGAGGAGAGCAGAAAGCCTTCAAAGAGCATTGAGACCCAGCCGTAGTGTGGGTGAGAGAAGGAGAGGAGGTTAGGGAGGAGTAGAGTAAAGAGCATTGAGACCCAGCCGTAGTGTAGGTGAGAGAAGGAGAGGAGGTTAGGGAGGAGTAGAGTAAAGAGCATTGAGACCCAGCCGTAGTGTGGATGAGAGAAGGAGAGGAGGTTAGGTAGGAGTAGAGTAAAGAGCATTGAGACCCAGCCGTAGTGTGGGTGAGAGAAGGAGAGGAGGTTAGGGAGGAGTAGAGTAAAGAGCATTGAGACCCAGCCGTAGTGTGGGTGAGAGAAGGAGAGGAGGTTAGGGAGGAGTAGAGTAAAGAGCATTGAGACCCAGCCGTAGTGTGGATGAGAGAAGGAGAGGAGGTTAGGGAGGAGTAGAGTAAAGAGCATTGAGACCCAGCCGTAGTGTGGGTGTCTTTGGGTAAAGTTTCTCCATCTTGTTGACATGTGTTTCTGCCTCATTAAAAGCAAAACCTAAGGTGTGTGGGTGTGTGTACCCTCAGAACATTTCAACATTTTGAACTCTGAGGCTGTAGCCTAGCAACACACACCCAATCATTTTCTGACTCAGTCGTTTCTATTCCTGTTCAATTATAACTTCATCATTTCTATCACCATGTCTTTAGTCAGTCATCATCATGTGTCAGAGACAACAGTTTTAACTTTAGAATCTCTGTTATCATCACACAGTGTCAGAGACAACAGTTATAACTTTAGAATCTCTGTCATCATCACACAGTGTCAGAGACAACAGTTATAACTTTAGAATCTCTGTTATCATCACACAGTGTCAGAGACAACAGTTATAACTTTAGAATCTCTGTTATCATCACACAGTGTCAGAGACAACAGTTATAACTTTAGAATCTCTGTTATCATCACACAGTGTCAGAGACAACAGTTATAACTTTAGAATCTCTGTTATCATCACACAGTGTCAGAGACAACAGTTTTAACTTTAGAATCTCTGTTATCATCACACAGTGTCAGAGACAACAGTTATAACTTTAGAATCTCTGTTATCATCACACAGTGTCAGAGACAACAGTTATAACTTTAGAATCTCTGTTATCATCACACAGTGTCAGAGACAACAGTTATAACTTTAGAATATCTGTTATCATCACACAGTGTCAGAGACAACAGTTATAACTTTAGAATCTCTGTTATCATAATGCACAGTGTCAGAGACAACAGTAATAACTTTAGAATCTCTGTTATCATAATGCACAGTGTCAGAGACAACAGTAATAACTTTAGAATCTCTGTTATCATAATGCACAGTGTCAGAGACAACAGTAATAACTTTAGAATCTCTGTTATCATCACACAGTGTCAGAGACAACAGTTATAACTTTAGAATCTCTGTTATTATAATGCACAGTGTCAGAGACAACAGTGACGTCCGATGACAGGATCCAGCCCTCATATGGGCCTGTTTTAGACTCATCACATTTGCTACATTAAGCCACTCAACTCCAGCATTTTACCGTGTTTCATAACTTCCATTCCAGTGTTGACCAGATGTCATTGTGAAGTTTTTACTGCCAACCTACAGTTTGTCTATTTGCTGTTGTTCAACCTCAGTTAGGCAGAGAGGGAAAAAGAGGAAGTCTCCTAACTGTCAGTCAGTAGAGAACAGAAGGGACTGTTACTGTTAACACTTAAGCAACAGCTTTTACCGGTCTAGTTATATGGAGACATAGCCAACGTCAAGGTTAAAGCAAACTCATGAGCATTTTGTAATCTGACAGTTAACGACAGAATGTCAATACCTCTCTTAATTGTACGTTTAGGGAGAGAAAGGTTATAGGGAAAACATTCTAGATGAATGATATGTATACTGGATGGTTTTTTACAGGTTATATAATCCATATCCCATTCTACAGGCTATATCATCTACAGTGAGCTCCAAAAGTACACATTTTTGGTTGTTTTGGCTCTGTACTCCAGCACTTTGGATTTGAAATGATACAATGACTATGAGGTTGAAGTGCAGGCTAGCAGCTTTAATTTGAGGGTATTTCATCCATATCGGGTGAACCGTTTAGAAATTACAGCGCTTTTTGTAGATAGTCTCCCCATTTTAGGATACCAAAAGTATTGGGAAAAATTCAGTAATGTGTATTAAAGTAGTCAAACGTTTAGTATTTGGTCCCATATTCCTAGAGCGCAATCATTACAAGCTTGTGACTCTACAAATGTGTTGGATGCATTTGCTGTTTGTTTTGGTTATGTTTCAATAGATTTTGCGCCCAATAGAAATTAATGGTAAATAATGTATTGTGTCATTTCAGAGTCACTTTTATTGTAAATAAGAATAGAATATGTTTCTAAACACTTTTACATTAATGTGGATGCTACCATGATTACGGATTGTCCAGAATGGTTAGTGAGTAATGATGAGTGAGAAAGTTAGACACACAAATATCAACCCCCCCCCAAAAAAAATGATAACCTCCCCTGTTATTGTAATGGTGACAGGTTAACATAATAATAATAATAATAATAATAATAATAATATGCCATTTAGCAGACGCTTTTATCCAAAGCGACTTACAGTCATGCGTGCATAAATTTTTTGTGTATGGGTGGTCCCGGGGATCGAACCCACTACCTTGGCGTTACAAGCGCCGTGCTCTACCAGCTGAGCTACAGAGGACCACTTGGGGGTATGATATTTGTGCGTCTAACTTTCAAATCAAATCAAATCAAATGTTATTTGCCACATGCGCCGAATACAACCGGTGTAGACATTACAGTGAAATGCTTACATATAAGCACTTAACCAACAATGCAGTTTTTTTCAATAAAAAGTAAAATAAAAAAAGTGTTGAGTAAAAAATTTTAAGCAAATAACTAAAGAGCAGCAGTCAAATAAAATAACAGTAGGGAGGCTATATACAGTGGGGGGGAAAAGTATTTAGTCAGCCACCAATTGTGCAAGTTCTCCCACTTAAAAAGATGAGAGAGGCCTGTAATTTTCATCATAGGTACACGTCAACTATGACAGACAAATTGAGAAAAAAAAAATCAGAAAATCACATTGTAGGATTTTTTATGAATTTATTTGCAAATTATGGTGGAAAATAAGTATTTGGTCACCTACAAACAAGCAAGATTTCTGTCTCTCACAGACCTGTAACTTCTTCTTTAAGAGGCTCCTCTGTCCTCCACTCGTTACCTGTATTAATGGCACCTGTTTGAACTTGTTATCAGTATAAAAGACACCTGTCCACAACCTCAAACAGTCACACTCCAAACTCCACTATGGCCAAGACCAAAGAGCTGTCAAAGGACACCAGAAACAAAATTGTAGACCTGCACCAGGCTGGGAAGACTGAATCTGCAATAGGTAAGCAGCTTGGTTTTAAGAAATCAACTGTGGGAGCAATTATTAGGAAATGGAAGACATACAAGACCACTGATAATCTCCCTCGATCTGGGGCTCCACGCAAGATCTCACCCTGTGGGGTCAAAATGATCACAAGAACGGTGAGCAAAAATCCCAGAACCACACGGGGGGACCTAGTGAATGACCTGCAGAGAGCTGGGACCAAAGTAACAAAGCCTACCATTAGTAAAACACTACGCCGCCAGGGACTCAAATCCTGCAGTGCCAGACGTGTCCCCCTGCTTAAGCCAGTACATGTCCAGGCCCGTCTGAAGTTTGCTAGAGTGCATTTGGATGATCCAGAAGAGGATTGGGAGAATGTCATATGGTCAGATGAAACCAAAATATAACTTTTTGGTAAAAACTCAACTCGTCGTGTTTGGAGGACAAAGAATGCTGAGTTGCATCCAAAGAACACCATACCTACTGTGAAGCATGTGGGTGGAAACATGCTTTGGGGCTGTTTTTCTGCAAAGGGACCAGGACGACTGATCCATGTAAAGGAAAGAATGAACGGGGCCATGTATCGTGAGATTTTGAGTGAAAAGCTCCTTCCATCAGCAAGGGCATTGAAGATGAAACGTGGCTGGGTCTTTCAGCATGACAATGATCCCAAACACACCGCCCGGCCAACGAAGGAGTGGCTTCGTAAGAAGCATTTCAAGGTCCTGGAGTGGCCTAGCCAGTCTTCAGATCTCAACCCCATAGAAAATCTTTGGAGGGAGTTGAAAGTCTGTGTTGCCCAGCGACAGCCCCAAAACATCACTGCTCTAGAGGAGATATGCATGGAGGAATGGGCCAAAATACCAGCAACAGTGTGTGAAAACCTTGTGAAGACTTACAGAAAACGTTTGACCTGTGTCATTGCCAACAAAGGGTATTTAACATAGTATTGAGAAACTTTTGTTATTGACCAAATACTTATTTTCCACCATAATTTGCAAATAAATTCATAAAAAATCCTACAATGTGATTTTTCTGGATTTTTTTTCCTCATTTTGTCTGTCATAGTTGACGTGTACGTATGATGAAAATTACAGGCCTCTCTCATCTTTTTAAGTGGGAGAACTTGCACAATTGGTGGCTGACTAAATACTTTTTTTCCCCACTGTACAGGGGGGTACCGGTACAGAGTCAATGTGCGGGGACACCGGCTAGTCGAGGTAATTGAGGTAATATGTACATGTGGGTAGAGTTAAAGTGACTATGCATAAATAATAAACAGAGTAGCAGCAGCGTAAAAGAGGGGGATGGGGTGGGGTGGGGGGGCAGTGCAAATAGTAGCCATGATTAGCTCTTCAGGAGTCTTATGGCTTGGGGGTAGAAGCTGTTGAGAAGCCTTTTGGACCTAGACTTGGCGCTCTGGTACAGCTTGCCGTTCGGTAGCAGAGAGAACACTCTATTACATTTACATTTACGTCATTTAGCTGACGCTCTTATTCAGAGCGACTTACATTATTATTTTCATACTGGCCCCCCGTGGGAAACGAACCCACAACCCTGGCGTTGCAAACGCCATGCTCTATCAACTGAGCTACCTCCCTGCCTGCCATTCCCTCCCCTACCCTGGACGACGCTGGGCCAATTGTGCGCCAGTAATCCTAGTCTATGACTAGGGTGGCTGGAGTCTTTGACATTTTTTAGGGCCTTCCTCTGACACCACCTGGTATAGAGGTCCTGGATGGCAGGAAGCTTGGCCCCAGTGATGTACTGGGCCGTACGCACTACCCTCTGTAGTGCCTTGCGGTCGGAGGCCGAGCAGTTTCCATACCAGGTGGTGATGCAAGCAGTCAGGATGCTCTCGATGGTGCAGCTGTAGAACTTTTTGAGGATCTGAGGACCCATGCCAAATCTTTTCAGTCTCCTGAGGGGGAATAGGCTTTGTCGTGCCCTCTTCACGACTGTCTTGGTGTGTTTGGACCATGATAGTTTGTTGGTGATGTGGACACCAAGGAACTTGAAGCTCTCAACCTGTTCCACTACAGCCCGTCGATGAGAATGGGGGCATGCTCAGTCCTCTTTTTTTTCCTGTAGTCAACAATCATCTCCTTTGTCTTGATCACGTTGAGGGAGAGGTTGTTATCCTGGCACCACACGGCCAGGTCTCTGACCTCCTCCTTATAGGCTGTCTCCTCATTGTCGGTGATCAGGCCTACCACTGTTGTGTCGTCAGCAAACTTAATGATGGTGTTGGAGTCGTGCCTGGCCATGCAGTCATGGGTGAACAGGGAGTACAGGAGGGGACTAAGCACGCACCCCTGAGGGGCCCCCGTGTTGAGCATCAGCGTGGCAGATGTTTTGTTACCTACCCTTACCACCTGGGGGCGGCCCGTCAGGAAGTCCAGGATCCAGTTGCAGAGGGAGGTGTTTAGTCCCAGGGTCCTTAGCTTAGTGATGAGCTTTGAGGGCACTATGGTGTTGAACGCTGAGCTGTAGTCAATGAATAGCATTCTCACCGTAGGTGTTCATCTTGTCCAGGTGGGAAAGGGCAGTGTGGAGTGCAATAGAGATTGCATCATCTGTGGATCTGTTGGGGCGGTATGCAAATTGGAGTGGGTCTAGGGTTTCTGGGATAATGGTGTTGATGTGAGCCATGACCAGCCTTTCAAAGCACTTCATGGCTACAGACGTGAGTGCTACGGGTCGGTGGTCATTTAGGCAGGTTATCTTAATGTCCTTGGGCACAGGGACTATGGTGGTCTGCTTGAAACATGTTTGTATTACAGACTCAGTCAGAGACATGTTGAAAATGTCAGTGAAGACACTTGCCAGTTGATCAGCGCATGCTTGGAGTACACGTCCTGGTAATCCGTCTGGCCCTGCGGCCTTGTGAATGTTGACCTGCTTAAAAGTCTTACTCACATCGGCCATAGAGAGCGTGATCACATAGTCATCCGGAACAGCTGATGCTCTCATGCATGCTTCAGTGTTGCTTGCCTCGAAGCGAGCATAGAAGTGATTTAGCTCGTCTGGTAGGCTTGTGTCACTGGGCAGCTTGCGGCTGTGCTCCCCTTTGCTGGAGACACTTATCTCCCTCACTAACTTTAAGCATCAGTTGTCAGAGCACCTTACCGATCACTGCACCTGTACACAGCCCATCTGAAATTAGCCCGCCCAACTACCTCATCCCTATATTGTTATTTATTTTGCTCATTTGTACCCCAGTATCTCTATTTGCACATCATCTCTTGCACATCTATCATTCCAGTGTTAATACTAATTGTAATTATTTTGCACTATAGCCTATTTATTGCCTTACCTCCATAACTTGCTACATTTGCACACACTGTATATATATTTTCTGTTGTATTTTTGACTTTATGTTTTGTTTTACCCCATATGTAACTCTGTGTTGTTGTTTTTATCGCACTGCTTTGCTTTATCTTGGCCAGGTCGCGGTTGTAAATGAGAACTTGTTATCAACTGGCTTACCTGGTTAAATAAAGGTGAAAAAAAAAAAAAAAAAGAAAAAGTAGTCATCCACCTCTGGTCTGCTAGTCCCCCTACCTCTACGGAAGCACAGTTCCCGCTCAGCCCAGTCAAAGTTATTCACTGCTCTGGCACCCCAATGGTGGAACAAGCTCCCCCACGACGCCAGGACAGCGGAGTCACTGACCACCTTCCGGTAACACTTGAAACCCTACCTCTTTAAGGAATACCTGGAATAGTATAACAGTAATCCTTCTACCCCCCCCCCCCCTCCCCCACCCCCCCCCATAAAAAAAGAAAGAAAAAAGGGTGGTTGTCCCACTGGCTATACTAAGATGAATGCACCAATTTGTAAGTCGCTCTGGATAAGAGCGTCTGCTAAATGACTTAAATGTAATCGTTTTCAAGCCCTGACGCATCCGACGAGTATCAGAGCCGGTGTAGTATGATTCAATCTTAGTCCTTTATTGACTCTTTGCCTGTTTGATGGTTCGTCTGAGGGCATAGCAGGATTTCTTATAAGCGTCCGGGTTAGAGTCCCGCTCCTTGAAAGCGGCAGCTCTACCCTTTAGCTCAGTGCGGATGTTGCCTGTAATCCATGGCTTCTGGTTGGGGTATGTACGTACGGTCACTGTGGGGACATTACACAGAAAACATTAGGAACACCTGCTCTTTCCACGACGAAGACTATCCAGGTGAAAGCTATGATCCCTTATTGATGTGACTTGTTAAATCCACTTCAATCAGTGTAGATGAAGGGGAGGAGACAGGTTAAATAAGGATGTTTAAGCCTTGAGACAATTAAGACATGGATTGTGTATATGTGCCATTCAGAGGGTGAATGGGCCGGACAAGAGATTTAAGTGCCTTTGAACAGGGTATGGTAGTAGGTGCCAGACCGCACCGGTTTGTGTCAACAGTTTTTCACGCTCAACAGTTTCCTGTGTGTATCAAGACTGGTCCACCACCCAAAGGACATCCAGCCAACTTGACACAACTGTGGGAAGCATTGGAGTCAACATGGGCCAGCATCCCTGTGGAACGCTTTCGACACCTTGTAGAGTCCATGCCCCGACGAATTGTGGCTGTTCTGAGGGCAAAAGGGGGTGCAAACTCAATATTAGGAAGGTGTTCTTAATGTTTGGTATACTCTGTGTATAATCTATATCCCATTGTACAGTATATACAGTTGAAGTAATGGGTCCCGTGTAGCTCAGTTGGTAGAGCATGGTGCTTATAACGCCAGGGTTGTGGGTTCGATTCCCACGGGGGGTCAGTATGAAAAAAACAAAAAACCTGTATGCACTCACTAACTGTACGTCGCTCTGGATAAGAGCGTCTGCTAAATGACTAAACATTTAAAAATGTAAGTCGGAAGTTTACATACACTTAGGTTGGAGTCATTAAAACTCGTTTTTCAACCACTCTACAAGTTTCTTGTTAACAAACTATAGTTTTGGCAAGTCAGTTAGGATATCTACTTTGTGCATGACACAAGTAATTTTTCCAACAATTGTTTACAGACAGATTATTTCACTTATAATTCACTGTATCACAATTCCAGTGGGTCAGAAGTTTACATACACTAAGTTCACTGTGCCTTTAAACAGCTTGGAAAATTCCAGAAAATGATGTCATAGCTTTAGAAGCCTCTGATAGGCTAATTGACATCATTTGAGTCAATTGGAGGTGTACCTGTGGATGTATTTCAAGGCCTACCTTCAAACTCGGTGCCTCTTTGCTTGACATCATGGGAAAATCAAAAGAAATCAGCCAAGACCTCAGCAATTTCCAAACGCCTGAAGGTACCACGTTCATCTGTACAAACAATAGTATAAACACCATGGGACTGTGCAGCCGTCATACCGCTCAGGAAGGAGACGCGTTCTGTCTCCTAGAGATTAATGTACTATCTATCCCAGAACAACAGCAAAGGACCTTGTGAAGATGTTGGAGGAAACCGGTACAAAAGTATCTATAACCACAGTAAAACGAGTCCTATATCGACATAACCTGAAAGGCCGCTCAGCAAGGAAGAAGCCACTGCTCCAAAACCGCCATAAAAAAGCCAGACTACGGTTTGCAACTGCACATGGGGACAAAGAACGTACTTTTTGGAGAAATGTACTCTGGTCTGATGAAACAAAAATAGAACTGTTTGGCCATAATGACCATCGTTATGTTTGGAGGAAAAAGGGGGTTGCTTGCAAGCCGAAGAACACCATCCCAACCGTGAAGCACGGGGGTTGGCAGCATCAGCTGTGGGGGTGCTTTGCTGCAGGAGGGACTGGTGCACTTCACAAAATAGATGGCATCATGGGGAAGGAAAATTATGTGAATATATTGAAGCAACATCTCAAAACATCAGTCAGGAAGTTAAAGCTTGGTCGCAAATGGTTCTTCCAAATGGACAATGACCCCAAGCATACTTCCAAAGTTGTGGCAAAATGGCTTAAGGACAACAAAGTCAAGGTATTGGAGTGGCCATCACAAAGACCTGACCTCAAGCCTATAGAAAATGTGTGGTCAGAACTGAAAAAGCGTGTGCGAGTAAGGAGGCCTACAAACCTGACTCAGTTACACCAGCTCTGTCAGGAGGAATGGGCCAAAATTCACCCAACTTATTGTGGGAAGCTTGTGGAAGGCTACCCAAAACGTTTGACCCAAGTTAAACAATTTAAAGGCGATGCTACCAAATACTAATTGAGTGTATGTAAACTTCTGACCCACTGGGAATGTGATGAAAGAAATAAAAGCTGAAATAAATCATTCTCACTACTATTATTCTGACATTTCACATTCTTAAAATAAAATGGTGATCCTAACTGACCTAAGACAGGGAATTTTTACTATGATTAAATGTCAGGAATTGTGAAAAACTGAGTTTAAATATATTTGGCTAAGGTGTATGTAAACTTCAGACTTCAACTGTAATATAATCTATATCCCATTGTCCAGGCTATAATATCATATATATCCCATTGTACAGGCTATAATATCATCTATATCCCATTGTACAGGCTATAATATCATCTACAGTGAGGGAAAAAAGTATTTGATCCCCTGCTGATTTTGTACGTTTGCCCACTGACAAAGACGTGATCAGTCTATATTTTTAATGGTAGGTTTATTTGAACAGTGAGAGACAGAATAACAACAAAAAAATCCAGAAAAATGCATGTCAAAAATGTTATAAATTGATTTGCATTTTAATGAGGGAAATAAGTATTTGACCCCCTCTCAATCAGAAAGATTTCTGGCTCCCATGTGTCTTTTATACAGGTAACGAGCTGAGATTAGGAGCACACTCTTAAAGGGAGTGCTCCTAATCTCAGTTTGTTACCTGTATAAAAGACACCTGTCCACAGAAGCAATCAATCAATCAGATTCCAAACTCTCCACCATGGCCAAGACCAAAGAGCTCTCCAAGGATGTCAGGGACAAGATTGTAGACCTACTCAAGGCTGGAATGGGCTACAAGACCATCGCCAAGCAGCTTGGTGAGAAGGTGACAACAGTTGGTGCGATTATTCGCAAATGGAAGAAACACAAAATAACTTTCAATCTCCCTCGGCCTGGGGCTCCATGCAAGATCTCACCTCGTGGAGTTGCAATGATCATGAGAACGGTGAGGAATCAGCCCAGAACTACACGGGAGGATCTTGTCAATGATCTCAAGGCAGCTGGGACCATAGTCACCAAGAAAACAATTGGTAACACACTACACACTACACCGTGAAGGACTGAAATCCTGCAGCGCCCGCAAGGTCCCTCTGCTCAAGAAAGCACATGTACATGCCTGTCTGAAGTTTGCCAATTAACATCTGAATGATTCAGAGGAGAACTGGGTGAAAGTGTTGTGGTCAGATGAGACCAAAATGGAGCTCTTTGGCATCAACTCAACTCGCCGTGTTTGGAGGAGGAGGAATGCTGCCTATGACCCCAAGAACACCATCCCCACCGTCAAACATGGAGGTGGAAACATTATGCTTTGGGGGTGTTTTTCTGCTAAGGGACGATGGACGGGGCCATGTACCGTCAAATCTTGGGTGAGAACCTCCTTCCCTCAGCCAGGACATTGAAAATGGGTCGTGGATGGGTATTCCAGCATGACAATGACCCAAAACACACGGCCAAGGCAACAAAGGAGTGGCTCAAGAAGAAGAACATTAAGGTCCTGGAGTGGCCTAGCCAGTCTCCAGACCTTAATCGTATAGAAAATCTGTGGAGGGAGCTGAAGGTTCGAGTTGCCAAACGTCAGCCTCGAAACCTTAATGACTTGGAGAAGAACTGCAAAGAGGAGTGGGACAAAATCCCTCCTGAGATGTGTGCAAACCTGGTGGCCAACTACAAGAAACGTCTGACCTCTGATTGCCAACAAGGGTTTTGCCACCAAGGACTAAGTCATGTTTTGCAGAGGGGTCAAATACTTATTTCCCTCATTAATATGCAAATACATTTATAACATTTTTGACATGCGTTTTTCTGGATTTTTTTGTTGTTATTCTGTCTCTCACTGTTTAAATAACCCTACCATTAAAATTATAGACTGATCATTTCTTTATCAGTGGACAAAAGTACAAAATCAGCAGGGGATCAAATACTTTTTTCCCTCACTGTATATCCCATTGTACAGGCTATCATCAATTAAACCATATACTGGATCTGTATATCTGTGGACCAATGATGATACTATGTTTAACCTCTAATACATATTTACATGTGTTCAAACTGTGTGTGTTTCTGTTCCTGTAGATCTGTGTCCATCGCTGCCAGTCTGGTTGGGGAAGACGCCAAGACCAAGTTCCTGAGTAAGATGGGTCAGCTGACCACGTCGGGCGCCATGCTGGCCAACGTCTTCCAGAGAAAGAAGTGATCCTTCTGCCACCGAACTGCCTGGCAGCCAGCGCACTACATATCCCATGAGCCTCCAGTGTCAGGGAGCGCCGGCCCAGCCACCAGCGATAGGCCAGATCAGGGGCTCTGCTCGAACACCTTCTAAATGCATCCTTCACTCCTCCCTGACTGGACAGGAGACAGCAATGTGGCTGAGCCCTAGGAAGGGAGGGAGGGAGGGAGGAAGGAAGGAAGGGGGCCCTTTTAAACGTATTTGATCAGGGCCAGGGTGTATATAAATAGTCTGAAGTGGTTTCCTCTCCTCGTCTCAAGGAGAGGAAGTCATTATATACTATTGAGATACAGCCACTAAGATTTGGCCAACTGGGTTTGATTTAGAATTTTAACAGGCGCCATGTTGGCACCAAAAGCTTTATGAACGTTGCAGTCCAGTCCAGTTAGAACGCCACTAACATTCTATGTCAGAATGTGATTGTTCCAGAACCTTTTTGTGTCAACATGGAGAGGACTAGCTAACTAACTGACGTCTGTATGTTCATGGCTCTGGGGAATCGCCTACTTGAAGTGAAAACAGTCTGCCTTTATTTCGTCACGTCTCTCATTGTTTTGATATTTTATAAATTATTTATGTCTTAAGACTTTATTCCTCCAAAGAAACGTGCCCTTCACTTTATTATTACTTTCTCTTTATTCTGTTTTGATTTCAGAGTCGTCTTATTATAGATGATGTACATCATCAGCATCACTACCATTCATTGGCTTTGGGGTTTTTCTGTTGGAATTGTGATGGTAAAGAGAAGAACGCTGATTGTCTTCCTTAATCCCTCCATCTGTCTCTCTCCTTCTCTCCTTTTCTGCCTCGTTCTGCCTCTGCGTGTTGCAGTGTCTCTGGTGGTTATTTTTTAAAGTGGCTGTTTGATTTGGGTTTAGTTATTTTATTTTTGTGATCATTTTATGCACTACAAGTTAATAACTGTATGATACACTGAAATGAAGAGGACGGTACCCATATTATTATGTACATTTGAGATTGGTGTCATTAAATAATAAAACACTAAATAAACAAGTGTGTACTTATGTACACATGCTTTTGGTGATTGTGTGTATATACAGTACCAGTCAAAAGTTTGGACACACCTATTCATTCAAGGGTTTTTCTGTATTGTAGAATAATAGTGAAGACATCAAAACTATGAAATAACACATGGAATCATGTACAGTGAGGGAAAAAAGTATTTGATCCCCTGCTGATTTTGTACGTTTTTTCCACTGACAAAGACATGATCAGTCTATAATTTTAATGGTAGGTTTATTTGAACAGTGAGAGACAGAATAACAACAAAGAAATCCAGAAAAACACATGTCAAAAATGTTATAAATTGATTTGCATTTTAATGAGGGAAATAAGTATTTGACCCCTCTGCAAAACATGAATAGTACTTGGTGGCAAAACCCTTTTTTTGTAGTTGGCCACCAGGTTTGCACACATCTCAGGAGGGATTTTGTCCCACTCTTTGCAGATCTTCTCCAAGTCATTAAGGTTTCGAGGCTGACGTTTGGCAACTCAAACCTTCAGCTCCCTCCACAGATTTTCTATAGGATTATGGTCTGGAGACTGGCTAGGCCACTCCAGGACCTTAATGTGCTTCTTCTTGAGCCACTCCTTTGTTGCCTTGACCGTGTGTTTTGGGTCATTGTCATGCTGGAATACCCATCCACGACCCATTTTCAATGCCCTGGCTGAGGGAAGGAGCTTCTCACCCAAGATTTGACGGTTTGACGTCCATCGTCCCTTTGATGCGGTGAATTTGTCCTGTCCCCTTAGCAGAAAAACACCCCCAAAGCATAATGTTTCCACCTCCATGTTTGACGGTGGGGATGGTGTTCTTGGGGTCAGGCAGCATTCCTCCTCCTCCAAACACGGCGAGTTGAGTTGATGCCAAAGAGCTCGATTTTGGTCTCATCTGACCACAACACTTTCACCCAGTTCTCCTCTGAATCATTCAGATGTTCATTGGCAAACTTCAGACGGGCCTGTATATGTGCTTTCTTTAGCAGGGGGACCTTGCGTGCGCTGCAGGATTTCAGTCCTTCACGGCGTAGTGTGTTACCAATTGTTTTCTTGGTGACTATGGTCCCAGCTGCCTTGAGACCATTAACAAGATCCTCCCGTGTAGTTCTGGGCTGATTCCTCACCATTCTCATGATCATTGCAACTCCACGAGGTGAGATCTTGCATGGCACCCCAGGCCAAGGGAGATTGACAGTTCTTTTGTGTTTCTTCCATTTGTGAATAATCGCACCAACTGTTGTCACCTTCTCACCAACCTGCTTGGCGATGGTCTTGTAGCCCATTCCAGCCTTGTGTAGGTCTACAATCTTGTCCCTGACATCCTTGGAGAGCTCTTTGGTCTTGGCCATGGTGGAGATTTTGGAATCTGATTGATTGATTGCTTCTGTGGACAGGTGTCTTTTATACAGGTAACAAACTGAGATTAGGAGCACTCCCTTTAAGAGTGTGCTCCTAATCTCAGCTCGTTACCTGTATAAAAGACACCTGGGAGCCAGAAATCTTTCCGATTGAGAGGGGTCAAATACTTATTTCCCTCATTAAAATGCAAATCAATTTATAACATTTTTGACATGTGTTTTTCTGGATTGTTTTGTTGTTATTCTGTCTCTCACTGTTCAAATAAACATACCATTACAATTATAGACTGATCATTTCTTTGTCAGTGGACAAACGTACAAAATCAGCAGGGGCTCAAATACTTTTTTCCCTCACTGTAGTAACCAAAAAAGTGTTAAACAAAGCAAAATATATTTTATATTTGAGATTCTTCAAGTAGCCACCCTTTGCCTTGATGACAGCTTTTGCACACTCTTGGCGTTCTCTCAAGCATCTTCACCTGGAACGCTTTTCCAACAGTCTTGAGGGAGTTCCCATATATGCTGAGCATTTGTTGGCTGCTTTTCCTTCACTCTGCGGTCCAACTCATCCCAAACCATCTCAATTGGGTTGAGGTCGGGTGATTTTGGAGGCCAGGTCATCTGATGCAGCACTCCTTCTTGGTCAAATAGCCCTTACGCAGCCTGGAGGTGTTTTGAGTCATTGTCCTGTTGAAAAACAAATGATAGTCCCACTAAGCGCAAACCAGATGGGATGGTGTATCGCTGCAGAATGCTGTGGTAGCCATGCTGGTTAAGTGTGCCTTGAATTCTAAATAAATCACAGACAGTGTCACCAGCAAAGAACCATCACACCTCCTCCTCCATGCTTCACGGTGGGAAGCATTTATTTGGGCTGCAATTTCTGAGGCTGGTAACTCTTAATGAAGTTATCCTCTGCAGCAGAGGTAACTCTGGGTCTTCCTTTCCTGTGGCGGTCCTCATGAAAGCCAGTTTCAACATAGCGCTTGATGGTTTTTGCGACTGCACATGAAGAGAACTTTCAAAGTTCTTGAAATTTTCCGGATTGACTGACCTTCGTGTCTTAAAGTAATGATGGACTGTTGTTTCTTTTTGCTTATTTGAGCTGTTCTTGCCATAATATGGACTTTGTCTTTTACCAAATAGGGCTATCTTCTGTATACCACCCCTACCTTGTCACAACACAACTGATTGGCTCAAACGCATTAAGAAGGAAAGAAATTCCACAAATTAACTTAAAACAAGGCACACCTGTTAATTGAAATGCATTCCAGGTGACTACCTCATGAAGCTGGTTGAGAGAACGCCAAGAGTGTGCAAAGCTGTCATCAAGGTAAAGGGTGGCTACTTTGAAGAATCTCAAATATATAATATATTTTGATTTGTTTAACACTTTTTTGGTTACTACATGATTCCATATGTGTTATTTCATAGTTTTGATGGTTTCATTATTATTCTACAATGTAGAAAATAGTAAAAAAATAAAGAACACCCCTGGAATGAGTAGGTGTGTTAAAACTTTTGACTGGTACTGTATGTGTGCATGTAAAACATCCTCATTGCCTTTTAATATAGAGCTCAAAGTTTCAGCAGGTGTTCAGAGTAATAAACGTTGGTAAATATTCAGAATCCCCCTCATCTTTCACAGACGCCGCTACTTCTAGAACTTCAAAGAGCTTTATGTCCCTTTGTCTGTCCAGGATTCCAAAGTTCACTAGCCGGGACAGACGGTTGCTGACCCGTAGACTGGGTCAGACTCAAAACCATTTACAGAGTCCTGGCACCGGTATACAGTGTACTATAGGGAGTGATGTGTGAAGCTATGTGCTGTCCTGTCAATATATCACCCTGTCCCCACCCCTCATACAGAACATAATTAGCATATTCCCTTTAATATTTAACTTGTTGCTGATAACTCACCAGGTGGACAAATAATTGATATAGTTGAGGACAGTGTACTGTGTGGGTAGGAATGGAACATAGTGGGAGCATGTTGGTATTTGTGTGAATGTGCATGTGTGTGAGAGAGAGAGCGAGAGAGAGTGTGTGGCTGATTTGCATGAGAGCTTAGCTATGTTTGCAGTGTGTCAGAGGAGGCTTTTAAGCCCAACCTTGGTGAATGATGACTTTCTTGTTTTTACTTAACTTACTACAGTGTGTGTGTGGTGAGTCAGAAAATCATGTCTGTTTACGAAGCACGCTGCACAAATGGTCTTCAAGTAGCAATGGTGTTCTGCTGTTTCTACTGCTCTCTGCCCTTCAGCGTGTGCGTGTGCGTGTTTGTCAGTGACACAACTGCAAACAGGATAAGGAACCCTTTGAGCTGAGTCCAGCACTGTGGTCACTTTTATGGCCGAAAACACACACACATTCCCAGTGTGGCAGACCACTGGAGCACGTATTAATGGAACCCTTTCTTGGCCTTCCCTGGTTGTCCATGTTTTACAATCCCTTTGTAAGTGCGTTGCCTGTAGCAGAAATTAGGTTGGATGGTGGCTTATTTGCCGAACATGCCCAATTAATCACTTTGCTTTGGCCTTTTGGGCAATGTTTAGCCTTACACACAGACACACACACACACACACACACACACACACAGGCAGATGGCTCTGTGGCTTTAGCTAAGTTTGGTATTAGAGGCTAAATTGAAGCCTTGAACTGTGCATGTCCTGTGTTAGCGATATGTTCAGAGTTTAAGTTGAGGCATTTAATTGCTACGCTAGTCAGTTCCAGCTCCTAATTGCCACTCTGCTAACTGTAGGGAGGCCTCACCACAAATATGCCTCACTAAGCGAAGGCTTACGGGAAGGGCCGGAGGGGGGGGGGGGGGGGGGAGAGACTAGCTTTATTAACATAGAAAATAACTTGCATTGAAGTATAGGCTAATATCAACTGTATAACAGGAACAAGAGCAACAAATCATATACAGTGTATACAAACAGAGTATATCTGTATATATATCAGATATGACTTCACTCATACAACACATCCCTGCTTCTCTGGATCATCGTTATCAGAAGAAAGTTTCACGGAACCTGGAATGACAGAATTAGAAGTCCAACTCCATCTCAGTCTGCTCTGTGTTCCTGGAGCATGGAAGTAGAACATTTAGTTTGATCAAATTCCAGAGAATGCTTCCAGGATATATCCCCCCTCTCTCTCACTCCTAGAAAAATACAAGAATTTGCATTTGAGATTATGCTGGTCCCTGGTACGAGAGAGAGAACGAGAGAGGTAGGAGGGGTGAGTAAAGGTGAAGAAAGCCATTTCTCTAATCTAAAGTGACGGTTATGCAAATATTAAATTACAGCTGGAGGCTTAGAATGGATGCAGGAGGGGCAGAGCTGAGCGTGGGGTACAGAGGGAGGCGGGGGGAGGGAGGGAGCGAGGTAGAGAGGATAAATGAGGCTGGTACAAAGGTTCCCCAAATACCACTCACTCATTTTGTTACACTTATCAGATACCCACCAGCCAAGGGGTCTGAACTTTTATGGCACAATAGGTATTGTGTTTACTCTATAAATGTAGGTTCAGTGGTTCAAACCCTACTCAGAATCTGCCCCCTAAATCTCTATATTACTAGGCTCTTGCATTGTATTCATGGCAATGAATACATTACAACATTCACCACAGAATGTCATGTTAGTTTAAGACAGTGGAGAGGACTAGATGTATAAAGTTATGTGGATTTAGATGGATTATAGGGGTTGATTTAAATTGTGAAAGAACATTACTTTAGGTGTGAGACGCAAAGCATTGCACACATGTCTGAGGCAATGAAAACACACACACACACGGGGGGGGACGGGGGGGGGGGGGGGGGGGGGGGGGGGGGGGGACGGGGGGGTCTACAATGGCATAGGAGGGGTTTAGACTATCTCTCTCCCCTAGTAAACTTACTCTGTTTTCACAAGCTTGCTCAGACAAGAGGCTGCTCACTCCAGAGTGCGTCGATGAGGAGAGAGGAGATCAGAGCGTGCATTACCGGGCATGCGGAGCAAGAATGACAAACGGGTCTGGAGGCTCCTCGCTGTACCCCAGACAAAGATCCCCAGACTTACCGACAAACCGTACCAATTCCTTTGAATGTCGACAATATCGATCATCCTAAATCTGTACAAGACAACTGGATTTCTTCTCTTTTCTGGTGTGTGAATAATCAGGAGAGATGAGAGTTCACTTCTCCACCAGTTGGATATTTCAAGGTTGGATCATCCATCTGGTTCTCACTCTGTGCGCACAGGTAAGTCATACTTAAACATGCATACATCAAAGAAGTGCTGCATATAGATTATAATAGTTTGATTGTGTATTCTGGATATTGACACTAGCCATTGCAAGACAACTGTTTAGTTGATGTATTAAACGTTTTCTGACCTCTAGATCTAGCCTACACTGTGAGTTGTTTTAACAAAATATTATTAAGTAATCCACAGGCTTTTTTTGTTTACTCAACTCTTTGGTCAAAGTGTTACCTGCACTTAACATTTTCTGTACAGTGTACATCTAGCCATTGTTATTGCTCTGGAGGAGTTGGGAGAAAAGTATACATTGAAAGATGTATTTATGCTCCAGCAATGACTGGAAACAGTTATGTTTGGGTCGTGTCCCCGCGCTCCTGCCCCTCTTCCGGTCCCGGTAAACCACAGAAGCCGAGCGCAGCTGAATGCATTCTTGCTGGCCTTGTTTTTAGCGGACGTTCTCGTTTCTGCTCCAATGCGTCGTGGGGGGTTATGGTTGTGGGAATGAAGAAGAGAAGGTTATAGCCTGTTATTGGTGTGGTTATTTGGGTGAAAATCGGGAATAAAATATGATGAGGGTATTACGTTCATTATAAAGACATGCTAGTTAGTAAACTGTTTGTAAGTCATCGTTTATGTCATTTGTTTATTAGCATGAATGGACATGAGATTATCATGCAATAACTTCACAGAGTACCTAGAGGTAACTGCCAAAATAAAGGAAACACCAACATAAAGTGTCTTAATTGGGTGTTCGGCCGCCAGAGCAGCTTCAGTGCCCCTTGGCATAGATTCTACAATGGAACTCTATACTTCGTTTGCGACACCATTCTTTTCATTCTTCTACGAGAAATTCCATAATTTGGTGTTTTGTTGATAGTGGTGGAAAACGCTGTCTCAGGCGCCACTCCATAATCTCTAATAAGTGTTAAATTGGTTTGTGACACTGTGAGGACAGACGCTGGGAGACGAGAAGCAGGTACAGGGAGTGAACATTTAATATATACAGCCATGAACCAAAACACGGACAGCGTCTGGACAGGGGAAACATAACGACATTAATGCTGACACGGGGATCAAACTGAGGAACAGATAGATATAGGGGAGGTAATCAAACAGTGATGAATTCCAGGTGAGTCCAATGAGGCGCAGATGCGCATGACGATGGTGACAGCTGTGCGTAATGATGGGCAGCCTGGCTCTCGAGCGCCAGGGAGGGGGAGCAGGCGTGACAGAGACAGACACACACACACACACACACACACACACCCTTTAAACCCCCTATGCTCATTTGAGACCCCGTTTTCAAAGTCTCTGAGATCTGTTCTTCTAGCCATGGTAGACAAAATAATGGGCAACTCTGCATTTTTATACATGACCCTAAGCATGATGGGATGTTTTAATTGCTTAATTAACTCAAATGGAAGCACCTGCTTTCAATATACTTTGTATCCCTCATTTAAGTGTTTATTTTATTTTGGCAGTTACTTGTATATTCAAATCTCTAGTCTACAAAGATCCAGGTGTAAAATCCTTAAAGTAACTACAGTGAAAATCTCACTTTTAAAAGTTAATATTCTGTTAACTCATACCCAAATAATGTTGTTGACCCATCCTATATTCGTATTTGTGGCCAAAGCATTAATTGGAGAGAAAAAACACTTAAAAAACCCCCACCTCAAACTTGTATCTCAAAGAGAGGATGAGCTGGCCAATCGGTGGTCTACTCGCATGAATATTTTTAATGACCGGTACAAGCCCACACCATTCTGTTGTTGGGGTACGCCCACACAATTCCAACACAGAAAAGCTGCTTTTTAACATGCTTAATTATAACAATTTGGAAGGAAAACTATTTCACTCTTATTGTAATACATTATACAGTCGTGGTCAAAAGTTTTGAGAATGACACAAATATTCATTTTCACAAAGTCTGCTGCCTCAGTTTTTATGATGGCAATTTGCATATACTCCAGAATGTTATGAAGAGTGATCAGATGAATTGCAATTAATTGCAAAGATCAAAGGCTGGAGATCACTCTGTCATGCTGATTGAGTTAGAATAACAGACTGGAAGCTTTAAAAGGAGGATGGTGCTTGAAATCATTGTTCTTCCTCTGTTAACCATGGTTACCTGCAAGGAAACGTGCCGTCATTATTGCTTTGCACAAAAAGGGCTTCACAGGCAAGGATATTGCTGCTAGTAAGATTGCACCTAAATCAACCATTTATCGGATCATCAAGAACTTCAAGGAGAGAGGTTCAATTGTTGTGAAGAAGGCTTCAGGGCGCCCAAGAAAGTCCAGCAAGCGCCAGGACTGTCTCCTAAAGTTGATTCAGCTGTGGGATCGGGGCACCACCAGTGCAGAGCTTGCTCAGGAATGGCAGCAGGCCTGGTGTCAAGAAGGGCAGCGAGGAAGCCACTTCTCTCCAGGAAAAACGTCACTGACAGACTGATATTCTGCAAAAGGTACAGGGATTGGACTGCTGAGGACTGGGGTAAAGTCATTTTCTCTGATGAATCCCCTTTCCGATTGTTTGGGGAATCCGGAAAAAAGCTTGTCCGGAGAAGACAAGGTGAGCGCTACCATCAGTCCTGTGTCATGCCAACAGTAAAGCATCCTGAGACCATTCATGTGTGGGGTTGCTTCTCAGCCAAGGGAGTGGGCTCACTCACAATTTTGCCTAAGAACACAGCCATGAATAAAGAATGGTACCAACACATCCTCTGAGAGAAACTTCTCCCAACCATCCAAGAACAGTTTGGTGATGACCAATGCCTTTTCCAGCATGATGGAGCACCTTGCCATAAGGCAAAAGTGATAACTAAGTGACTCGGGGAACAAAACATCGAAATTGTGGGTCCATGGCCAAGAAACTCCCCAGACCTTAATCCCATTGAGAACTTGTGGTCAATCCTCAAGAGGCGGGTGGACAAACAAAAAACCACAAATTCTGACAAACTCCAAGCATTGATTATGCAAGAATGGGCTGTCATCAGTCAGGATGTGGCCCAGAAGTTAATTGACAGCATGCCAGGGTGGATTGCAGAGGTCTTGAAAAAGAAGGGTCAACACTGCAAATATTGACTCTTTGCATAAACTTAATGTAATTGTCAATAAAAGCCTTTGACACTTATGGAATGCTTGTAATTATACTTCAGTATACCATAGTAACATCTGACAAAAATATCTAAAAACACTGAAACAGCAAACTTTGTGAAGACCAATAGTTGTGTCATTCTCAAAACTTTTGACCACAACTGTAGGTCATATTTCTTAAAAATCTGGAAACACTGGACATTTACTTTAATGTGAGGGAGGTTGACCAGGAGTTAGGTTGGCCCATGAAGGAGGTTGACCAGGAGTCAGGTTGGCCCATGAGGGAGGTTGACCAGGAGTCAGGTTGGCCCATGAGGGAGGTTGACCAGGAGTCAGGTTGGCCCATGAGGGAGGTTGACCAGGAGTCAGGTTGGCCCATGAGGGAGGTTGACCAGGAGTCAGGTTGGCCCATGAGGGAGGTTGACCAGGAGTCAGGTTGGTCCATGAGGGAGGTTGACCAGGAGTCAGGTTGGCCCATGAGGGAGGTTGACCAGGAGTCAGGTTGGCCCATGAGGGAGGTTAACCAGGAGTCAGGTTGGCCCATGAGGGAGGTTGACCAGGAGTCAGGTTGGCCCATGAGGGAGGTTGACCAGGAGACAGGTTGGCCCATGAGGGAGGTTAACCAGGAGTCAGTTTGGCCCATGAGGGAGGTTGACCAGGAGTCAGGTTGGCCCATGAGGGAGGTTGACCAGGAGTCAGAGCTTGGCGTGGCAGTTATGCAAATCAGCCAGCGCGATGAGAAAGACTGGAATGTATCTCACATGATAGCAGATTATATGAATCAGGAATCACAGATCTCTCTCTCTCCCCCCTCTCTCACGCTCTCTCTTCCCCTCTCTCGCTTTCTCACTCTCTCTCTCTCTCTCTCTCTCTCTCTCTCTCTCTCTCTCTCTCTCTCTCGTGGGTCATAACACAAGAAAAACTCAGACTTTTTGATCGGTCAAAGCACACACAAAAACAGTTTGGCATCCAGACAGTTTGGGAACCACTGTCTGTATGTAACAACTGACTGTAGTTGCACTCTCAGATACATTTAGAAAGGAGGTTAGAGGAGTCTATGTTATATCCTGGCCTCTCTCTCTCTGTCTAGCCTGTAATCATTCAGGGTGGATCTGACCCTGCTCTTATATATTTAGTGAATGACAACATATTGCAGCAATGTCTCATAATTATTGCCTGATGTTCGGAGGCAGCTAAAACAGAAATACGATTCCCAGCATTCTTTTGGTTTCCTGTCCCATTTCGCCCAGAACCACGTCTCCATTCCTCCTCCTCTCTTTGTTTTTATCCCACTATAAGATGTAAGTAATAAATGTAAATATAAGTCTTCAATACGGATGTATGGGAACTGTGTCCTTCTCCAACAGCTGTATGTTGATGAATGGCAGCATTGCTCTGATCTCAGTCTTCTCTTCTAACACATGTTGATCATTATGACTGTGGTCACAACTCTGAGTTCATCGTTAAAAGCAAAACAATGACTGATGTGAGACACTCTGTGGAAGTAATTAAACACTTGTTGGGATTTGTGTCATCATGTTTTTGGGGCACTGCAGACGCACAAACTAAACAGTTTATCATTGGAGGGTTTCAAAGGGTTGGTTGCAGCCAGTCAGCTGATTTGTTCTGGGTTGCAGCTTAAGACGTGACTAGAGACTTCGTTTTGTTTACTTGGTGGGTCACAAGAAAAACTCCAAGGTGAAAAGCTTTAAATGAGTTTCCTCTGTGACTGGGGGACAATGAGTAGGGTCAGAGGGAAAGGGACAGGAGTTGTACCATGTGACAGTGAAGCAGAGCTAATGTGGTCCTCTGTAGCTGAATTGGTAGAGCATGGCGCTTGTAACGCCAGGGTAGTGGGCTCGATCCCCGGGACCACCCATTCGTAAAAATGTATGCGCACATGACTGTAAGTCGCTTTGGATAAAAGCGTCTGCTAAATGGCATATTATTATTTAGATGCTTCAGGATGGGGTCAGTAATACTGGGCAGTAGCATTCTGGGGCTGTGGTGGTGGTGGTGAAGATTTATAGAAATGAAGAATACCCCCGCACATTGACTCGGTACCGGTACCCCCTGTATATAGCCTCGTTATTGTTATTTTATTTTGTTTCTTTTATTTTTTACTTTCGTTTATTTAGTAAATATTATCTTAACCCTATTTCTTGAACTGCATTGTTGGTTAAGGGCTTGTAAGTAAGCATTTCACGGTAAGGTCTACACCTGTTGTATTCGCCGCATGTGATTTGATTTGATCCCTCCTACAGACACTGTTAAATACTGACAGGCTGTCATTTCATGAGCTGAGAGCTAATAGGCTTATCGTGTCTATGGATGGATGAACAAACAAATGCATGAGTGAGTGAGTGAATGAATGAATGAATGAATGAATGATGTTGTGCTTGCATTTACTGTCACCTTGAACCACCAGATTGATCATAGTGGTCTGTGTTTTGTCTCCCAGAGAGCCCTGTCCAGACCCACCTGTTCCCAGCAGCAGTACCTCAAAGACAAGAGATGCTGCAGCAGGTGTGAACCAGGTAAACTAAACCAGAGAAATACATTACCAGTCAAAGGTTTGGACACACTTACACATTCCAGGAATTTTCATTATTTTTACTATTTTCTACATTGTAGAATAATAGTGAAGACATCAAAACTATGAAATAACACATATGGAATCATGTAGTAACCAAAAAAGTGTTAAACGAATCAAAATATATTTTATATTTGAGATTCTTCAGATTGACACCCTTTACCTTGATGACAGCTTTGCACACTCCTGGCATTCTCTCAACCAGCTTCATAAGGTAGTCACCTGGAATGCATTTCAATTAACAGGTGTGCCTTCTTAAAAATTAATTTGTGGAATTTCTTTCCTTCTTAATGTGTTTGAGCCAATCAGTTGTATGACAAGGTAGGGTTGGTGTACAGAAGATAGCCCTATTTTGTAAAAGACCAAGTCCATATTATGTCAAGAACAGCTCAAATAAGCAAAGAGAAACGACAGTCCATCATTACTTTAAGACATGAAGGTCAGTCAATCCGGAAAATTTCAAGAACTTTAAAGGTTTCTTCAAGTGCGGTCGTAAAAACCATCAAGCGCTATGATGAAACTGGCTCTCATGAGGACCACCACAGGAAAGGAAGACCCAGAGTTACCTCTGCTGCAGAGGATAAGTTAATTAGAGTTAACTGCACCTCAGATTGCATCCCAAATAAATGCTTCACAGAGTTCAAGTAACAGACACATCTCAACATCAACTGTTCAGAGGGGACTGTGTGAATCAGGCCTACGTGGTCGAATTGCTGCAAAGAATCCACTACTAAAGGACACCAACAAGTAGAAGAGACCTGATTGGGCCAAGAAACACGAGCAATGGACATTAAACTGGTGGAAATCTGACCTTTGGTCTGATGAGTCCAAATTTGACCGCCGTGTCTTTGTGAGACACAGAGTAGGTGAACAGATGATCTCTGCATGTGTGGTTCCCACCATGAAGCATGGAGGAGGAGGTGTGATGGTGTGGCGGTGCTTTGCTGGTGACACTGTCAGTGATTTATTTAGAATTCAAGGCACAATTAACCAGCATGGCTACCACAGCATTCTGCAGCGATACGCCATGCCATCTGATTTGCGCTTAGTGGGACTATCATTTGTTTTTCAACAGGACAATGACCCAACACACCTCCAGGCTGTGTAAGGGCTATTTTACAAAGAAGGAGGGTGATGGAGTGCTGCATCAGATGACCTGGCCTCCACAATCCCCCGACCTCAACCCAATTGAGATGGTTTGGGATGAGTTGGACCGCAGAGTGAAGGAAAAGCATCCCACAAGTGCTCAGCCAATGTGGGAACTCCTTCAAGACTGTTGGAAAAGCATTCCTCATGAAGCTGGTTGAGAGAATGCCAAGAGTGTGCAAAGCTGTCATCAAGGCAAAGGGTGGCTACTTTGAAAAATCAAAAATATACAATATATTTTGATTTGTTTAACACTTTTTTGGTTACTACATGATTCCATATGTGTTATTTCATAGTTTTGATGTCTTCACTATTATTCTACAATGTAGAAAATAGTAAAAATAAAGAAAAACTATTGAATGAGTAGGTGTGTCCAAACTTTTGACTGGTACTGTAGATGAATGGACATTACCACCAACCAACATGACCCCTCTACACTACAATACCGGTCTGGAATTTAGCAGTGAGCCGTTGTCTGCATGGAAGACGGAAACTTCCATGCTCAATATTTTCCTGAAAATAATTGAGGAAGGATGTTGAAAAGAGGAACTGACTTGCTGCAATGCGCACACATACGCACACATACACACACACACACACTCCCTTCCCCTCTTGCATCAGCAGGTCACTGGAACCTTGGTGTATAACTGGTGTCCAGTCTAAGGGCGAAGTCAGACTGATCCGTGGCAAACGGACACCAAATTAGAACAAAATCATTTTGGTCCGTGGTCAGTGTGCGTGTGGAGTGTGTGACGTATAACATGCTCTGTTTTCTAATTGGCTAAACGTATCCGTCTGCCCGTCAAACGTACGGCTCCCATTGAGAAAGCATTGGAAATCACGGATAGGGATAATATCAACGGGGCAGTCTGGCCTCACCCTAACCCTCTCTCTCTCCCCCACCCCCCAGGGTCCTATGTGTTTGCAGAGTGTGCTGGCTCCTATGACACCAAGTGTCGTCCGTGTGGTAGTGATGAGTACCAGCCTGACTGGACCAACGAGACCAAGTGTCTGCCTCAGAAGTTCTGTGACACAGGTCAGTAGGTGACTGGGCCTTGGCCTGGGGGGACTCAGGAGTCTAGCTGGGTGACTGGGCCTTGGCCTGGGGAGACTCAGTAGGGTGGAGTCAGTAGTCTATTGTTGAAGCTTTGTTTTCTAGTCAGTTTTAACTGGTGTTTGCCTGACATTTTAGCAAAGCCTTTTGGAGATGCTGATGTCTGTGGTGTCTGCTTTGGTTAACCCCTAACCCCTGACCTGTGTGTGGCCCCCAGGTAAGGGTTTTAACCGTGTGAGGCCCAGTAACCCCCAGGCTGCGGTACCCTGTCAGTGTAAACCTGGTCTACAGTGTTCTCCTATCAACTGTGAGTTCTGTGAGAAGATTCCTACCTGTGGACCAGGATATGGACTGGAGTCAGACGCTGGTGAGAGAGAGAGACACACACACACACACACACACACACACACACGTAGGAATGCATGTACACACACACACACACACGTAGGAATGCATGTACACACACACACACACACACACACACATAGGAATGCATGTACACACACACAAACACACGCACACGTAGGAATGCATGTACACACACACACACACACGTAGGAATGCATGTACACACACACACACACACGTAGGAATGCATGTACACACACACACACACACACACACACACGTAAGAATGCATGTACACACACACACAAACACTTCTGTGTCACAACTGTTGTCAGCAGTCCAGTTTTTACTCTTTGTCCTCTGTTGCTTGTGTTTTAAACTCAGAGTCGGGCAGGAGAACTTGTGTTGCATGCAAGAGAGGACATTTCTCTCCCAACAGCTCTATGGAACCATGCAAGCTGTGGACCAAGTGAGTTAACACACAAACACACACATACTGTACACCACGTCCCGTCATACACAGATTTCTCCCTGGGTGCTCCTATTTTTAGTCCAGTGTGTCCGGGTGAGACAGGAACATGGTTCTGCAGGCGCCCAAAGCTCCACCGCACCGGTGTTCTGACTAATGCTGCACCACTTCCCCTTTAACAGAGAGCTGTTTCTACCACTGCCTGGCTCTGTGGTGAACCAAGAGAAAGAACAGAGAGAGAGGGAGGGATAGAGAAAGAGAGCAGAGAGAGAGCAGAGAGAGAAAGAGAGAGAGGGTGAGGGATAGGGAAAGAGGGAGATGGGGGGAGAGAGAGAGAGAGAGATCTTAAACGTTCAAGCAGACAACCTAAGAAAATTAACAACAATGACAAATGGTTTGATTGATGAAGAATGCAAAAACCTAAGAAAGAAATTGAGAAACCTATCCAACCAAAAACATAGAGACCCAGAAAACCTGAGCCTATGCCTTCACTATGGTGAATCACTAAAAAAATACAGAAATACACTACGGATGAAGAAGGAACAGCACGTCAGAAATCAGCTCAATGTAATTGAAGAATCCATAGAATCTAACCACTTCTGGGAAAATTGGAACACACTAAACAAACAACAACACGAAGAGTTATCTATATATGTATGGATAAATGTATGGATAAACCACTTCTTCAATCTTTTTGGCTCTATAACAAAGAACAAACAGCAAAAACATATACTGTACATGATTTTTAAAAAACAAATCTTAGAATCAGCTATTAAAGACTACCAGAACTCACTGGATTCTCCAATTACATTGAATGAATTACAGGACAAAATACAAACTCTCCAACCCAAAAAGGCCTGTGGTGTTGATGGTATCCTAAATGAAATGATAAAATATACAGACCACAGATTTCAATTGGCTAAGCTCTGGCATCTTCCCCAATATTTGGAAACAAGGATCACCCCAATCCACAAAAGTGGAGACAAATTTGACCCCAACAACTACAGTGGGATATGCGTCAACAGCAACCTTGGGAAAATCCTCTGCATTATCATTAACAGCAGACTTGTACATTTCCTCAGTGAAAACAATGTACTGAGCAAATGTCAATTTGGCTTTTTACCAAATTACTGTAAGACAGACAACGTATTAACCCTGAACACCCTAATTGACAAACAAACAAACCAAAACAAAGGCAAAGTCTTCTCATTCTTTGTTGATTTCAAAAAAACTTTTGACTCAATTTGGCATGACAGTCTGCTATAAAAATTGATGGAAAGCGGTGTTGGGGAAAAACATACGAGGTTATAAAATCCATGTACACAAACAACAAGTGTGCAGTTAAGATGGGTAAAAAACAAACACATTTCTTTCCACAGTGCCGTGGGGTGAAACAGGGATGCAGCTTGAGCCCCACCCTCTTCAACATATATATCAACGAATTGGCGAGAGCACTAGAACAGTCTGCAGCACTCGACCCTACCCTACTAGAATCTGAACTCAAATGTCTACTGTTTGCTGATGATCTGGTGCTTCTGTCCCCAACCAAGGAGGGCCTACAGCAGAACCTAACTCTTCTGCAGAGATTCTGTCAGACCTGGGCCCTGACAGTAAATCTCAGTAAGACAAAAATAATGGTGTTCCAAAAAAGGTCCAGTTGTCAGGACCATAAATACAAATTCTATCTAGACACCATTACCCTAGAGCACACAAAAAAACTATACCTACCTCAGCCTAAACATCAGCACCACAGGTAACTTCCACAAAGCTGTGAACGATCTGAGAGACAAGGCAAGAAGGGACATCTATGCCATCAAAAAGAACATAAAATCGACATACCAATTAGGATCTGGCTAAAAATACTTGAGTCAGTTATAGAACCCATTGCCCTTTATGGTTGTGAGGTCTGGGGTCCACTCACCAATCAATAATTCACAAAATGGGACAAACACCAAATTGAGACTCTGCATGCAGAATTCTGCAAAAACGAATTAGGCCGATACCCGCTAATTATGAAAATCCATAAAAGAGCCGTTAAATTCTACAACCACCTAAAAGGAAGCGATTCCCAAACCTTACATAACAAAGCCATCACCTACAGAGAGATTAACCTAGAGAAGAGTCCCTTAAGCAAGCTGGTCCTGGGGCTCTGTTCACAAACAGAGCCCCAGGACAGCAACATCAACACAATTAGACCCAACCAAATCATGAGAAAACAAAAAGATAATTACTTGACACATTGGAAAGAATTTACCAAAAAACAGAGCAAACTGGAATGCTATTTGGCCCTAAACAGAGATTATACAGTGGTAGAATACCTGACCACTGTGACTGACCCAGAATTAAGGAAATCTTTGACTATGTACAGACTCAATGAGCATAGCCTTGCTAGTGAGAAAGGCCTCCGTATGCAGACCTGGCTCTCAAGAGGAAACAGGCTATGTGCACTCTGCCCATAAAATGAGGTGGAAGTTGAGCTGCACTTCCTAACCTCCTGCCAAATGTATGACCATATTAGATACACATATTTCCCTCAGATTACATAGACCTACAAATCCAATTTTGATAACCTCCCATATCTTTTGGGTGAAATACCACAATGTGCCATCACAGCAGCAATATTTCAAATAAAATCAAATCAAACTGTTTTTGCAAACTTAACGATAGTGTTGGAGTCGTGCTTGGCCACGCAGTCATGGGTGAACAGGGAGTACAGGAGGGGACTAAACACCCACCCCTGAGGGGCCCCCGTGTTGAGGATCAGTGTGGCAGATATGTTGTTGGTTACCCTTACCACCTGGGGGCGGCCCGTCAGGAAGTCCAGGTTCCAGTTGCAGAGGGATTTGTTTAGTCCCAGGGTCCTTAGCTTAGTGATGAGCTTTGAGGGCACTATGGTGTTGAATGCTGAGCTGTAGTCAATGAACAGCATTCTCACATAGGTGTTCCTTTTGTCCAGGTGGGAAAGGGCAGTGTTGAGTGCAATAGAGATTGTCATCTGTGGATCTGTTGGGGCGGTATGCAAATTGGAGTGGGTCTAGGGTTTCTGGGATGATGGTGTTGATGTGAGCCATGACCAGCCTTTCAAAGCATTTCATGGCTACAGACGTGAGTGCTACGGGTCGGTAGTCATTTAGGCAGGTTACCTTGGTGTTCTTGGGCACAGGGACTATGGTGGTCCGCTTGAAACATGTAGGTATTATGGACTCAGCCAGGGACAGGTTGAAAATGTCAGTGAATACACTTGCCAGTTGGTCAGCGCATGCTCGGAGTACACGTCCTGGTAATCCGTCTGGCCCTGCAGCCTTGTGAATGTTGAACGTCTTGCTCACATCGGCTACGGTGAGTGTGATCACACTGTCGTCCGGAACAGCTGGTGCTCTCATGCATGCTTCAGTGTTGCTTGCCTCGAAGTGCGCATAGAAGTAATTTAGCTCGTCTGGTAGGCTTGTGTCACCGGGCAGCTCGCGGCTGGGCTTCCCTTTTTAGTCCGTAATAGTTTGCAAGCCCTGCCACATCCGACGAGAGTCGGAGCCGGTGTAGTAGGATTCAATCTTAGTCCTGTATCTACTCTTTGCCTGTTTGATGGTTCATCTGAAGGCATAGCGGGATTTCTTATAAGCATCCGGGTTAGAGTCCCGCTCCTTGAAATCGGCAGCCCTTTAGCTCAGTGCGGATTTTGCCTGTAATCCATGGCTTCTGGTTGGGGTATGTACGTACGGTCACTGTGGGGACAACGTCATCGATGCACTTATTGATGAATCCGGTGACTGATGTGGTATACTCCTCAATGCCATCGGATGTGTCCCAGAACAAATTCCAGTCTATGCTAGCAAAACAGTCCTGTAGCTTAGCATCTGCATCATCTGACCACTTCTGTATTAAGCGAGTCACTGTTACTTCCTGCTTTAGTTTTTGCTTGTAAGCAGGAATCAGGAGGATAGAATTATGGTCAGATTTGCCAAATGGAGGGCGAGGGAGAGCTTTGTACGCGTCTCTGTGTGTGGAGTAAAGGTGGTCTAGAGTTTTATTCCTCTTGTTGCAAATGTAACATGCTGGTAGACCTGTTGCCACAAGAAAAGGGAACAAACACCATTGTGATAAATACATTGTAAATACAACCCATATTTATGTTTATTTATTTCCCCTTTTTTACTTTAACTATTTGCACATCATTATAACACTGTACATAGCCATAATATGACATTTGAAATGTGTATATTCCTTTGAAACTTGTTAATGTAATGTTTACTGTTAATTTTTGATTGATTATTTCACTTTTGTTTATTATCTATTTCACTTGCTTTGGCAATGTAAACATATGTTTCCAATGCCAATAAAGCCCTTTGAATTGAATTGAATTGAATTGAATTGAATTGAATTGAGAGAGAGAGAGGAGAGAGAGAGTAGAGAGAGAGAGAGAGAGAGATCGAGAGAGATAAGAGAGAGAGGAAGAGCAGAGAAGAGATAAAGGAGGAGGGAGAGAGCGAGGAGAGCTAATCGTATAGAGAAGGAAGACGAATCTAGCGAAGAGAGAGAGATAGAGAGAGTTCTCTCATTCTCAGATATCTATCCTCTTATCTCTCGCTATGCTTTCTCTCTCTCGCTCTCCACTCTCCTCTCCTCTCTACGAGCTTTGTTCTATTGTTATTTTAGGCCGGCTCGAAAGGGGGAAAAGATCCCCGGGCGGGGGGGTGCCGTTTGCTTACCCCCCGCCCTGGAAAGAAAAATTTTGTCGCAGCCCCTCCTCCCGGAGGTCGGTCTTATTAAAAATTTCTCTCGCGCTCCCTCTCTCTCTCTCTCCTCCTCTCTCGTCGCTCTCCCTCCCCATCGCTGACGATCTCCCTCCCCTCTCCCTCTCTCATAACCCGTCTCTCTCTCTCTCGCTACTCTCTCCTAGCGCTCTCGCTTTTCTCTCGCGCTCTCATCCGCATCCCTACTTGCTTCCTCTCCTCTCCTCTACCCTCTCTCGAGCTCTCGCTCTCTCCTCTTCCTCTCCTCTCGTCTACTTTTTTCCCTCGGGTTATCTTTTTTCCCTCTCCGCTCTAATTTCCCTCTTCTCACTCTCTGTCTCTCTGGCTTTTGTCTCTCTCTATTTCTCGCCCCGTTTCCGTCAGCTTTTTTCGCTTGTTCGGCCCGCTCAGCCCCTCTTGCCCCGCGCTGGCGCGCGCTCCTCCTCCGCGCTCTCTCGCCGCGGCGAGGCAGCCGCGCTCTCTCCCTCGCCTGCTTCTCTCCGGCCTCTCGCTCCCTCTGCCACTCGCGCCCCTGCGCTCGCCGTCGCGCTCGCCACCGCCTCCCGCTCCCCCGCCCTCGCTCCCCTCGCGGCCGCTCGCGCCCTCGCTCCCTCTCGCTCCCCGCGCTCCCTCCCGGGCCTGCGCCCCTCTCGCGCGCTCGCCCTCCCCTCTCTCCCCGCTCCCCGCACCTTCCCGTCTCTACCGAGAGAGGGAATGCCTGGATTGCTATAAACAGAAATAATGACCATGTGTCCTCTCCTCTCCTGTGTTTACTCCTCCCAGTTGTAAAGGCCTGGGGAAGAGTGACAAACAGACTGGGAGCGACCAGACTGATGCTGTCTGTGGACCCCCTCTCTCTGGTGCCTCTACCTCCTGGGTCCTACTGTGTGTTCTGTCAGTCATCACTGTCCTCTGTCTCCTCATCCTCCTGCTCTTCTGCTATAAGGACAAACTTCGACTACTCTCAGGTACCTGATTCAGATATCACATTTGTCATAGAGGACAATGATGTTGAGAGAATTCTGCTTTTATTGAAATATGCCTTGGCATAAAATGACTAACTAATGAGTGAAATTAGTGACTAATGAGTGAAATTAGTGACAAATGTCATCCTCTTATGTCTTACAGTGAATTTACGATCATGTGTCCAGAATCTGAAAAGGACCAGGATACAGCAGGTAAGGTAGACTCTCTTTAGTGGTCGAGATGACATGCATTAACAGTGACAAATAGTCTAACCTATCTGTCTGTCTCTCTCTCCAGGAGACTCTGGCCCCTCTCTACCACAGTGGGGGTGTAGGAGTGGGGCTAGAGGGTCAGAACTGCACCCTCTGTGAGACAACCTGTCTTATTGGCCTGGCTCACACCCCCTCAGAAACCCCACACACCTGTCCTACAGCTACACCTTGTGACCGGGTCAAACTGCCACCCTCTAAAGAGATGGAGGAGGAGAGGAAGGAGAAAGACGATAGAAGGGAGGAGGAGGATGAGGGGGTGGGAAGTGAGGGGTCGGGGGAGGCAGAGGAGGTTTCTGAAGATGGTGTGTGTGAGGAGGGTGTATCAGAGGGTGTGTGTGTGTCTCCACTGTGGGCTGGCTCCTGTGTGTGTGTGTTGTCTGTCAGGGAACCATTAGAGGTAGGGGATAATGAAGACTGTAGCCAGGCTGTCAACCCTGGAACCCTCGGGACTTGCTCCTGTGGAGGAGAGGGGGAGAGCAGGGATGGAGAGAAGGATGAAAGGAAAGATGGAGGGAGGGAGAGAGCCAAGGTGGGTGAGGGACTGCAAGGTAAGAGGTCTGAGAGGAGCAGCATTACCTCCTCCCCCTTTTCCCTCTCTCCCACCTCCTTCCCCCGCTCCACCACCTCCTCCCCTCTCTCCCCCGCTGACCATTCATGTGACCTCTACCCTCCGCTGACCCAAGCCAGGTCAGAGGTTAAAGGTCAGCTAATTGACAGCTCACCAGGGAAAGGGGAGGGGCTATACAGACTGAACTGCAGCATAAGCTCCACACCCATCACAGAAGCCACGCCACCTTTGACCTCCTCAATCTCTCCTGACCCATCTGTGACCTCTGTAACTGTGGGCGACCGGCAGTCCGAGCTGACCTCTGAGGCCTCCAGCAGTGAGCGAGACCGGGGACTTTCTTGGAGGGAAAGTGGGGGAAACAAGCTCTCGTATGGGGGCTCGGAGCTGGAGTGTGCCCCTGAGAGCCTCCTGAGTCAACTCACAGAACCAGCACTCACCTCAGGTAGATACAGCACAGAGTTCTAGCAGTGCCACACTCACAAGAAAAAGGCTAAATACACGTGTCATTATACATTCCAACCATTGTTAAAGAGGAAAGATAAATAAATCCACTGGTGTTTCTCCTGGGTTATTGGACCTGGGTTATTGGACCTGGGTTATTGTATACTGTTTTGGCTAGGACTGTGAAAAGACGATTCTGAAATCTCAATGTTGCTCCTCCAAAATGAGTATATTGGTTTCCTCCTAATGTCCTCCTGTTGGCCTGGCTTAAGGACCACACACAGTAGGAATGTGTGTGAGGAGCCAGTGATTACAAGCTGTAACATTCAATGTGTGTGTGTGTGTGGTTGTGTGTGTTTAACTCTCTGAGTGTGAGCTGTTTACCCAGAGTTCCACAGGGTTTTGCAAAGTGACCACAGGTGTAATTGAAACAAGATGTGCTCTGAATACACAGCCCTTGAGTAATACCCAAACTCACATACTTTCAGACTCTCATTGATCACTATATACTTGAATTATGCCCAAAGGCAGCAGTAAGCAAATAAACACAGTTTCCCTTAATGCAGTAATAACATGTCATTAACTGGACTTCCCGCTCAGAGGTTAAACATGGGATCACACCTCAGAGAGAAAGGGAGAGACAGGGGCTGCATCTCAACAGTCTATTGAGGTTTCCTCTCCTTGCCAAAGAGCTGCAGGATAGGTGAGAATAGTACAGAGAGCGAAGCAAGGACAGTTCTCCCACATGACCACATGATCACATGATCACATGATCACATCAGTAAGGAAGAAGGAAAGGAGGTGAGGAGAGGAGGTGAGGAAAGGAGGTGAGGAGAGGAGGTGAGGAGAGGAGAGGAAGCCACTTTAGACCAAAATGTTTCACAATCATGTGGTCAGATAGTTTTTTTCTTCTTCTATTCTTACCATGCCATGTGTATGGTTTATGTTATCTGCCCCTCTTGGGTAACTCCAGACAGTCTACTGTAAACAGAGACACCAGGTATTCCTGGCCAGACTGGTAATTCAGTTCCAGTAAGTTATTTCAAATGTGATTCCAGACACCCACACATATGTTATGATAAATGTGTGTGTGTATGTGTGTGTGTGTGTGTGTGCGTGCGTGCACGCATATGTGCATGCGTGTGTGTGTGCCTGCGTAGGTGCGTGTGTGTGTGTGTGCGTGTGTGCGTGTGTGTGTGTAAACAACGTGTGAAGGGTCTGGGGTGACAGTCTCGTTGCACCTCTAAAGAGTTGAAATGGGAATAGAGGGTAAGTGAAACAGAGAGAGGGAGGGATAGAAAGAGGGAGGTGTGTTGAAATGGACAGCAGACGGACACAGACACGGACGTCTGTACGTTTCCATCAGTGGTGTGATCCATGAACATGGAAATAAGGGAATAAATGGAAGTTTGTTCCTCTTGATTTGAATGCAAACGCCAGAGTTGTTCCAATGGCTCAGTGTGGTGGCTGGCTGCAAGGTTTGCTGCTGAAGCTGTAAGTTATAATGTCAGATTTAATAACAGTATCTATTTCTGTAGTGAACAGGACATGTCGTCTGTGATAATGTTCTGACAAACTGTACTTCTCTACGTCTAAGTGGTGATTTGAATAAAGTTGGACATTTTCACATAGAATGGAAACTGCTTGTCATACTGAAACCCTGATGTTGAAGGATATGGTTATGATGTCCTTGACCAAGACTATGGTCTACGGTACCGCAGCCAACCACGGTCTTTCTGTAGTCACTGTGCACCGTCATCATTACATTTACATTACATTTTAGTCATTTAGCAGACGCCCTTATCCAGAGCGACTTACAGTTAGTATCACTCCCACTGGCTATTAGTCATCCCTAACATGCTGGCTAAACTGACCCCTTATCGCTCTCTAGGGGAGAAGAGAGAGCAGAAGAGAGAGAGAGAGAGAGAGAGCAGGGAGAGGGGGAGAGAGAGACGAGGGAGAGAAGAAGTAGAGAGCAAGAGAGAGAGCGAGAAGAGAGAGAGAGAGAGAGAGAGAGAGAGAGAGAGAGGAGGGAGAGAAGAGAGAGGGAGCGAGAGCGAGGGAGAGAGAGAGAGTAATCTCTCTCGAGTTATAGCTCCATCTCTCATCCTTATCTCGAGTCTATCCTCTATCTCTAGCTCTCTCTATCTCTCTCTCGGTATCTGTTTCTCTCTCTCTCTCTCTCTCGTTCTCTCTCTTTCTCTCTCTCGTTCTCTCTCTCTCTCTCTCTCTCTTGCTCTCTCTCTCGTTCTCTCTCTCTCTCTCTCAGGTCAGGTGACAGGGAACAACAACACCACCTTCATCTCTAGCGGTCAGGTGATGAACTTCAGCGCTGATGTCATCGTCGTCTACGTCAGCCAGACGTCGCTAGGCAATGAGGGGGAGGGGCCAGACGATGCGTTCGGAAGCCCCGTCCAGGAACAGGCCAATGAGAGAGCTCCGCTGTTCCAGAGTTCCACCTCCTCCAAAAGTGTCAGCCATTCGCCAGTGCCATCCTCAGTAAACTCCATTACCCATAACCCCCTACGGCTGGAGGACAACCTGCCGGTTCAGGAAGTGACTGATGAGTGGCCCAGGGAGAATTGAAACGTGAAAATGTTGGATAGTGTACCATAAAACCATGAGAGGAGCAAAGCCAGTCCAAAACCTACTGCTACGACCTAATCCAAACAATAGTCCATGGTCTTCCTGGGTTGGCGTTAAGTATTGGAACTGGGCCATAGACTTGGAACCTGGAGGACTGTGATCCTCATCTGGACCTTGTGGTTGTTTCTCAATAGTCTCATGTAGGGCTGTGGTGGTCATGAAATTTTGTCAGCTGGTGATTGTCAAGCAAACAACTGCCGGTCTCACAGTTATTGACCGTTAATTAACATAAACACATTTAGCATCTCCTGGCTTCCACACAAACCACTGATGCAGACCTTTGGAACATCTACATTTTAGAAAGTCTAATAAATCCATGTAATGTAGCCTAAACCATCACAGTAAATCCATTATTTATTTTAGGCAGGTCTAAAGAAACACGATATGAAGATAATGTAGTCTATTTCAGAAGAACAGAATAACAAACTCTGAGTTGTCCTTATGTTAGGTCCTGATCTGGCTATGCCAAATGGCTGTGGGCTACACTAGTTCATTTAGCAGACAAGATTTGCTTAGAATTCCGTGGCATTATTTTATATTATATAATATGAAGAATACAAATGAACAAAGCTGAATAAAATAGAAAGGAATTTTTCACCAAACGATTTGAGGGAGTGCACACATGCGGCTATTCTGTGTTGAGGGGTTAACAAAGAAACTGGTATGCTTAATTTAGAGCTATTTATGTAACTTTAGTTGTGATACTCATTTTGGGCTGTATGTTTAGATTTTTAATACATTCTAAGGCTGCATGATGCGACTCTAATGATGATTTGAAAAAAGTTGCATGAAAGGCATGAGCTCTGCTTTGTTTTTTGCGCTGGCTGTACACACTTCATCAGTCTCTCATTCACGATTTGACAAGCACTTGATAATGCCTCGAATTTCCCAGCTGCATCCCCTTTGTGTGGCCATAATGCCCCCTAAAAAAATCTATGCCTTTTGCAGCCAGTGGCCATTGTGCCCTTGGGCTGAATATAATAATGATAATTCCCTTCTCCCGGCAGCGTGCCATAGCACCTCTCACTCACATTACATTTAACATTTTAGTCATTTAGCAGACGCTCTTATCCAGAGCAACTTACAGTTAGTGAGTGCATACATTTTTCATACTGGCCCCCCGTGGGAAATGAACCCACAACCCTGGCGTTGCAAGCGCCATGCTCTACCAACTGAGCTACAGGGCTCTCTGTCACGTGATTGGGTCTTTCTCACAGGCTACAAGTGAAGACAGACACATCGGGGACACAACTGCATGCGTCCTTATCCAATTCCGAGGCGCATATTGAAGATATTGGAAGAACCGTCCACATTTACTTTTCGTCAGCCAACAAGATGAGTAGGCCTTATGTACAGCAAAAGCACTAGCCTATGTCAATCTACTATCCCCCATAGTACAAAAGTTGACCTATTCTATTCTGTGCGAGAAATAAATATTCCAAACATAGTCTGGGACAGTTGTTGGGTGCGATAGATCCCCAATTAATACAACCACTAGCATCAAAAAAACTGTTTTAAGCAATGAGCCTGACGCAACAGATGAGAACGTTTAGCTTAAAATGTTGATACACTATTAGGCTTTTTCTTCACATTAAAAGCACAGCAATGCGCACACAGCACTATAAGTGCGAATGTTCCATTAGCAGGAAAACACCATTCTCAAAAGTGAACACAAATGCGATTATGCATGTTATGCTTTTATTATAAAGGTGCATTTTTATGGTGAAAATGATCTTCCCCAAACTTGAAAAAATACATGTAATCTATGCACTTAAATAGCGAATGGAGGACGCTTTAGCCGTGGTTCATTTTCATGCCAGCCAGGTAGGCTATACTGTTGCAAAGATAAGCAATGTGCTTAATATTAGGAAAGTTGAGAAATAAATATAGTAGGTCTAGTACTATAGAAAGCTGATGGGATTCTCCTCTGTTTTATCACGCAATTGCATAGACTATAGAAATGTTGCACAACATGAGCTCATGGGCTCTCATGAAGTGTTTGATTCGATTTTCAATTACATTTGCATTGATGTCAGAGTGATTAGAGGGACAATAGAGTGCTGAGTACCAGGCAGTTAGCAAGTTTGGTTGGCTACTAATGACCATCAGCAGCATCAGAGCTTGGAGAAGCCTGATTACCGTGACTAAACGGTCATGTGGAATTTGACTGCCGTCATGACTCGTGACCGCTGGTGTGGCGGTAATACGGTCACCCTAGTTTCATGTTGCTTCCTTTCCTTCATCGTCTCCTTTCCTTTATCCGGACTGATCTAAAAGAGCTAGACAACTGAAATGAAGTCCATGAGTTTGACGCTCTTCTTGTTGTTATCCTTGGTGTTGATTTGTTCTTAGAGCACCACGAGTGTGATTTGTTGTTAAAGAAAATTTTCTGCATGTGTTGAGCTATATGCACTGAGTGGACAAAACATTAAGAACACATTCCTACTATTGGGTTGTCCCCCCCTATCCCCCCCCCCCTCTTTTGCCCTCAGAACAGCCTCAATTCGTTGGGGCATGGACTCTACAAGGTGTCGAAAGCGTTCCACAGGGATGCTGGCCCATGTTGACTCCAATGCTTCCCACAGTTGTGTCAAGTTGGCTGGATGTCCTTTGGGTGGTGGACCAGTCTTGATACACACAGGAAACTGTTGAGCGTGAAAAACTGTTGACACAAACCGGTGCGGTCTGGCACCTACTACCATACCCCGTTCAAATGCTCTTAAATCTTTTTTCTTTCCCATTCACCCTTTGAATGGCACACATACACAATCCATGTCTCAATTGTCTCAAGGCTTAAAAAGTCTTATTTAATTAACCTGTCTCCTCCCCTTCATCTACGCTGATTGACATCAATAAGGGATCATAACTTTCACCCAGATTCACCTGGTCAGTCTATGTCATGGAAAGAGCAGGTGTTCCTAATGTTATGTCCACTCAGTGTATACTATACATGTAAATGTTTAGTTTTTTGATATTTTTTATGCTGTCAGATGGTGGACTAATGAAGAAATCTCTGGAACCAAATATCTTATTATCTTACTACAAAAACCATGGAAGTGGTTTGGTGATCCACACTGAGTACCTTGTCTAAAAAGACGTGTTAGCTTTAGCTCAGAGGACTAACAGTCTTGTGCCCAGCAAGAGACCCAGGATTCACCCACCAAGAGAATCAGGCACCTACTCATGGTTCACCACTGACCTTCCTTAAGAACTGAGAGCATGTGTAAACCGAGACATGGCTTTGTTAATCTGGCTCCACAAGTCCAGGTCTGAGACCAGGTATTGAATAGCTAACCAATAAAATTAAGCTTTCAGGAGTTGAAAGTGGAGACTTTTACCTTGTTCATATCTGTAAATAAAATGTACATGTTGATTCAAATCAAATTGCAATAAATGATGGAACTGTTTTGATAAAAATTCATTGTGTTTTTTCATCAAGCCCCATCACGACAGCAGTCTTACTGTTATTCAATGGTTTACTGTCTGCTATCTGGTAATTACAATGAATAGTTATTTATCTTCTCTCAGAGCCATAATGACTGTGAAAACAGAACTAATTACACATGCGGCCAGGCTTCAGTTTCTGTCACTGTCCCAATGCTGACAGACAGACTGACAGTCTTTCATTATCACACAAGATGGCTGCCAGCTGGCAGTATAGGGCCAACATAGCATAGGCCACGTTTAGCTAGCGTAGCATTTAGGATTGGACTATTTTCTCTATAACCACATGAGAAGGGCTGGCAATGTTAATTTCGGGCCTGGTTTGTGTGTGTTTGTGTGTGTTTGTGTGTGTGTGTGTGTGTGTGTGTGTGTGTATGTGTGTGTGTGCTTGCGTGCATGCATGCATGCATGCGTTTGTGTGGTAGTGGCCCTGAGGCCCACCAGGAGAGGAGGGTATTTTCTGTTGTCTGTGAAAACAGAAAGTTATAACTAGCCTGCACATGGTTTAAATGAGATGTCCTCAGCTCCTTCTACAGAACAGAACAGAAGAGGGATGTGTGTAGCATAAGGCTGGTTTCTAGAAGGTTGGAGAACATTGGCACCTAACTATGATAGGATACCACCTAGTGGAGGATTTACACACACACACACACACACACACACACACACACACACACACACACACACACACACACACACACACACACACACACACACACACACACACACACACACACACTGTATTCCCTGTAGGGATGAGGTTTTCTGATTTTCTGCTGGTGACACAGGGCAACAGATGCTCACCTGGAAACTACCAGAAACATCTCAGAGAGAAACGCTGAAACTGGAATATTTTCAGCTGCTGTTTAGACAGGCTTGAATTACACCTGAGATGAAACATAATCTGCATGGGAGTGTGAGATTCCTTTCTAACAGTCTCTCTCATGTAGGGACCTGGATTTTACCTTATCATGTGACACTAGGTTTTCACAGTCAAGTCACATGGTCAGGTAAAACTTGATGCCCAATATAAGGAGCCTCCGGGTTACGGCTGGATATCTCTTGACTAACTCCCTCAATGGTCCTACTTGGCACAGAATGAGAATACTGTTACTATTCAGATACACATTTTGTGAGGATTGCTCTACGACATAACTCTCCTCTGATGAAAGTGTGATTTTATCTGTAGCCTATCAATAGTTCATTAACAATTTGGAGGCATGACACACACACACACACACATACGCGCACGCGCACACACACACACACCAGAGTCTTAGGCGACACACAGCATCCTTTAACACATCCGTTTTCTGTGTCAGAAAGACAGACTGGTTGAAGAGGGGAATTCTGAAGTCTCTCAGAGGATATTAGTTTTCTATCGGAAGCACAGAGACGGATTGGACTATTTTCTCTACAACCACATGAGAAGGGCTGGCAACACTGATTTCGGGCCTGGTTTGTGTGTGTGTGTGTGTGTGTGCACCCCATAG